TATATTATCATCATTTATAAAAAACATTTAAAATCTGCTTTGCTGGATAAAATTTAAAAATTTTTATGAAAAATGGCCGATAACAAAAAGGATTCCACGAAAAAATGATATCAAAAAATTAATTTTTTTAAATAAATTTAGTAACTCTTTTTAAATAGTAAATCTTTTATAAATAAAAATCGTAATACATGTTTTTTATATTATATTATTTTTAACATATAATTTTAAAATAAATAAAATGAAAGTTTAAAATAAAAAATTTTTTTTTAAAAAAAAGTTTGGAACCTGAACCCTAAATTAAAAAAGTTCAGAGTTGGGTTTGGGTTCAGCGAAATATCGAGGGTTTGGTAGGTGCGATTTCAGAGTTTGAGTTTGGATTCTCATCCCTGCTTTTGAAGATGTTACAAGGTTTTAAGTTAAAAAATACAAATGTTAGGTTTGGACCTTTATTCGCCAAATCTTTAAACTTATATAATATTATTTTAGCATGAAAATTGACACATTATTTAACAGCGCTAGTGTCATTCATTTTATTTATGAATTCTGTTTTAAAATATCAATAACTGTGTAAAACATTAGTACATAATTTCCCTTGGTATAAAGTTTATATTAAGTTTTTTAATTAAGTCACTCATTCATATATAGAGATAAAGGAGATCAAGGTAGGCTAGAACACTTTTTATTCAAACCTGAATTAGTTTCATACTAATAAATTAATTTTAATAAATAAAACATAATCCTTAAATTATAAACTAAATTTAAAAAAAAACATTTTTGGACCAACATGCATAGGTAGAATTCCTACAATGCAAGTTTTAATTGGTCCAGCAAAAAAAATGAGTCTAAATATAAAATAGAATTTTTTATCATTATAAGACTAGATTTAAAACATGTTATAATATTACTTTGGCACTTGATTTTTTTCTACAAATTAAAATTTACTTAGAGGGATATAAATAACACATTTTCATAAAAATTTATTCAAACGTTTATATAAAAAATAATACCATGACTTCATATGGAATCTTTGATACATTTTTATTGGTGTTGTTGAAAGTTACTTTGAAACGCGGCCCAAGTACACAGGCTGGGACTTATTTTATTTTTTTTCAAGTAATGATTACTAATTTAGTAGTTTATTCCAAAATTATTTAATTCTAAAAAAATTTAAGTCTTTGTCGTTCCTTATACTAAGTTCTTTGATCTAATTTAGTTTAAAAAAAAATACATTTATATGAAATTCCATAAATATTACCAGCAACTTGAGGGCAAAAAATATGGAATAATAGGTAAAGAAATATAATATTAAAAAATAGGTTTATTAATTGAATTTGGTTACAAAATTATGAAACCCAGCAATGTAACAATTTAAGAAAAGAAAATCTATTTGGACTGGAAATTATATTATTGTTGCATAGTGAAATCAGACATTTAAACAAAATTGTAAATTAAGCCATATGCCACCTTGGCTACGAATGGTTAGAAACTATACCTAGTTTTAATTTAGGCTTGTTTATTAACCAACGAAGAACTTAGAATAATGTCTTCGTTCTGTGAAATTGTAACGCCGACATCATGTGTCCCTTGTGAAACTCATATCGATAGCCTTAGACACTCCATACTGGCATTTTCCAAAAGGTAAATTATCCAGGCAATCTGCCATCAATTCGATCATCAATAGTATCTTGAAATCCGCAAATATTCCTTCTACACTGAAACCTTTTGGCTTCAGTCCTGATGGAATGACGCTAGTCCCTTGGAACCAAGGTATACCCCTCGCTTGGGATTATACATGTGTAGATCGTTTTGCCAGATCTTTTTATTTCAACTCTATCACGAAAGCTGAAAATACAAAAACAAATAAATATAGCCACCTTAATAATCTTTTGTTTGTTCCGATAGTCTCAGACACCTGTGGATCATTTGGACCCCAAGCCCTAAAATTATTTAAAACAATAGGGCAATGGTTACGTTAAATCACAGGTGATCCAAAAAAGGCTTCTACCTACGACAAAGAATATCAATTAAAATTTGTCGATCCAAATGTATATCTATAACATGGGTCATTAAGCCCCGCCGACCAAACCTAAATACATTAATTTATTTTATTTCTCTTCTTTTAATTTTTTACATAAAATATAGGTATAGTATTATAATTTTAATAAATAGTTATATTATTTTTAAAAAAACATATTAAAAATAAAATTAATTACTAGAATATATTATTTCGATTTATACATATATATTTTTTTTTAAAAACTAGTTACTTTTAGCACATTCCCAAAAATATAATTAGTTACAGTTTTTTTTAGCAAAAACAACACTAATTTTTATGTAAAAAAATATACCAAATATAAATTTTATTTTTTTGAATTATATGATAGAAAACAATTTTAATTATTTTAACTTTGCATTCTCCATCGAATCCTAGAATAACATATAACTCTTTTCATTGGTGCTTTTTCTATTCGATGACCAATGCCCAATTTTATCAAATTTTATATCCAATATTGGCTGAATATCGATTTCCTTTTTTTACTCTTCAATGTAGGTCTGCCTAATTTTTTTTATCCTGCCAGCATCAGTCTCATAGATATCTATGATTTAAATAGTAATAACAAACTATATATTGTAATGTTTCTTTGTTTCATATGGCGTTTATAAAGCAACCAGAAATTCAATACACATGAATCTAATAAATGTAAGAACACACATATAATCGCTTCCACTTTATATCCGTTCAATAAAATTCCACCAGCCACCAGGATATCTTGTAGATCTACCCCGCCCCAATATCTTCATTATGGTCTTTTATTATATTCAGAATTCTACATAGGTAAATAATTTTCAACTACTGACCATCGTTTTCTACAAGATATTGGATATATACTCAAAAAGGATGATATGATGATAACCGGTTTATTATCATACCACTTGCATATTAAAACATTATTATTTATCTCTAATTTGTAATCTTCTTTTCCCCTTCCTCTTTTTTTCAAACTTTTATCATCTTCCAGACAACATCTTGTCAAATGATTTGATATTATTTCTGACATCATAATATAATCAGGATCTTTAAAGGAAGCTGCTAATTGACTGATGAAAAAATTTATCCAATGTAATTACATACCAAATTGATAACTTTTCGACTCGACCTTTTTAATTTAGATAAAATTTTGCATACTGAGAGTGAGAGGATATCATTAGAAACTATCGAATCTAAAATTTTAGCCAGGATATCATTAGAAAGCATCGAATCTAAAATTATAGCCTCTTACAGAGTTCCTGAAATGTTAATGGTCAAAATGACCCTTATCAAAAAATACGATTTTTTAAAATTTAGATAAGTTAAAATATAATGTTGCTAAAAATAAAAATTATATATCATTTTGTAACTCTATTAAAAGCCTTTTATTAAATATTAAGGATTTTTTAAAACAATATTGTTGCGGTTTTTATTTACATTATAAATTTTAAGCATGAAAACTCTAGGTTTTCGCTTTCCAAATTTTTTTTAGTTTAATATTTTCTTATTCACTCACATTATATCTATTTAAAAAAAAATTTCAACTCGGGACAGCCATGAGTTTTTTTTAGTTATTGCGATTTAAAAAATCAAAAAACTAATATTTTTAAGTCCTTTTCTCTTCAAAGGCCCTATCAGCAGCTAAAAACGCTCTTTTAATTAAGTATACCATCACCAGGATCTTAAATTTCTAGAAATTGTTGTGGGAATGATGCTTTTAACATCAATATTTCTATATATTGAGCCAACTTTGGCAAAATATTGGTGTAATCAACAAGGCCTTCCTCATAAATTATATCAAATGATCTTAAATCATGTTCACAAAACTTGAGCGCATTTATACACTCTTTTTAAATTGATACTAATTTTGAGTTTTTTGGGATCACCATCAATTGTTAATTGATTATTTTTACTCTCTATTGTAAATACACATTTATTCCTTTTTAGTTGATTTGTGCCTGAAATAATTTAATAATATCATGTTTAGTACAATATACTAACTTTGATGGAATTATAAACCAACATATATTTGCAAGAATTGCAACTCACATAATTATTTTGTTCATTGTTCATCATATATATATATAGAAAATTTTTTTCAGACTTCAAATTTGCCATTAGCATTTCGCTTGCTTGATATTCATTACTTTTAATTAAAATAATTTTTTTAATATGAAATTTTGAGGCTATTTAAATATATATTAGTAAATATATTTATTTAACTTGATAGAATGAATTTGATAAAAGTAAAGTATGAAATATCCTATTAAATGATGAAAATATATTTACATAAAGTAGTTTGTTTAAATTATAGTAATTGTAAATGACATGTTATTCTGATTGACATTTTAAGAATAAAATGTGATAAATAGAAAATAATATGGTGTTATAATTGACGTTATGAATTATAATGATTATTTTGGATATTTATATTAGTATTAGTATTTATTTTTTGGGTCGTCTTGTAACCTGAGCCCGAACCCGAAAAATATTTAATGGCCGAAGGCATGATCAAGTCGGTTTAGACAGCCCATGCAGTTCTCTAATACGGAGTAATTTTTGAACCAAGATAGCTCAGCATGTATTGAATTTTGAAAACCATAACTGGTCCTATTTGAGCTAAAGCTTTAAAATTTTGATTTATATAAAAGTTAACATAACTATAATGTCAATATTCACTTTAGATTTAAACAGGAATTATATTTTGATAGTATATTCAATCCCATATAATCGAAAAAAGAAATCTTTAGTAGTTATTAATGAAATATGTTTTTGTTCTGCTTAAATTTTACATGATTATCTTTGTTTAAATATTTTCTCTAATCTTAGCAATTTTCGGTAGCTAAATGTTGTTTAATTTAGTTTTTAAAAATTAGTAAATATGATGAGCAAAATATTTATTTATAATGTATCACACTCATGCTTACGAAATGTAAGTTTATATTATAATATTTTAATTATTTAATATTAGACAATGCTCAAATAAATCTGGATGTTGATTATCAAAATAGGTATTTGATATTGGACATAAAATTTAAAAGATATATATCTAGCCTTCATCTATATATTAAAAATAAATATAATGAAAATAATTTGGAATTGGTGTACACATTTAACTCGGATAATATTTCAGACATATGTTTTATGAAGATAAAAAATAGATTTTTTATTAAACTTCCCTTTAAATTAAATATTTGGAATAAAATTAGACGTGATTTTTACACTGATATCAAGAAAAGTTTACATATAAATGATGTTAAAAGCAAACAATACAGAATTAAATATATGATAATTAAAAATTGCCAAAGTTGTATTATATCTAAATTACAATTTTCCACATCACAAAGCATTGAATTGGTTGAACCTACCATTGAATGGATAATAAAAAATCAAGATGCAAAAGGTGGGTGGCCTATGAATTTTAATCTTAAAGAAAAGAAATTACGTTCAGGATGGTATTCTTCTATGGCACAGGGTCAAATTATTTCACTCTTAGTTCGATATTATTATTTAAAGAAAGATGTACAATATCTAAAAAGTTCTATCAAGGCTTTTAATATCTTTAATATATCAACAGTCAAAGGAGGCGTTAAAGCTTACGTATTTAATAAATATATTTGGCTTGAGGAATATCCCTCGATTCCACCAACATTTGTTTTAAATGGATTTATGTATTCGATTGTTGGAATCTATGATTTGCAGCAAGCATTGAAATATTATCTTGTAAATAATGATAATAGTTTTAAAATAATAACGAATCGCATCAATATTTTATTAAATCTTGTTGGAAAATCTCTCAAAACCTTATTACCTCTCTATGATACTGGCTCCGGGTCCTTGTATGATTTAACACATATAACCCAAAAATATCCTCCTAACAGAGCTCGTTGGGATTATCATGTAGTACATATAAACTTACTCCAGTTAATGTCTGTGATTTTTAATGATTCATATTATTTCGATGTATCGATGAGATGGAAAGGATATTTATATGGGAATAGAACGAAACATAATTAATTATATATAATGATTTATAAGTGTAAAAATAAATATAAAAGGGTTGTATAGCATTTTTTAATATTATAAATCAAATTGTAAATAAAAATCGATTTTGTTAATTTGTATTACACCGCATTTTACCTACAACCACACGCCATTTTTATTGCAGATAGGATGGATAAATATAAACGAAAAAGTAAGCCATAAACATAATTTTAATCATGTCCTAAACATTATAAATATATGCTAAATATCAATTAGATCATTTGTTTTTGTTTTATTGTTAATTAGGTAGATTATTTTATATTTTTCTAGACAATATTCGATAATGTTATATTATACCTACCTATTCAATATTATTTAAATCCTAAAATTTCGCTTAAAATTTTATTGTTTATCATTATTTATGATAATCTCTAGTATATTTAGTGTAGTTTTAAAAGATTTATGATTTTTTAGTCTAAATTCTATGCAAAATTGGCCGCTATATAGTTCTGAATACCTTATTTATGATTAAACTTAAACACAAGATGATCTATTGAGAGATGTATATGTTTATAAATAGTTTTTATTAGAGATATTTATTATTAATAGTTTTAAAATTTCCCAATCTAAGAATATATGCCAAAAATCTAATTTGATATTTATAAAAATTCGTCTGCTATTTATTAAAAATTTTGGCGCCATATATATTTTCAAACTTAAATGCCAAATTTTTTTAGTAATAAAATGTTTGGTTTGGTTGAAATGTTGAATCCTAATTAAAACTAAAATAAATTTCAGATGAACTCAAAATCTCTTCCATTTAAATTTTTGCAAAAACTATATGCAGAATGAGTTTTCTGCAAATTATAACTTATTAACTGATTGATTACAAGATTTATAAACATTCTATTATGATATATGAATATTAGTCTACTGATAATGAAAAATTATAAGCATGATAAATTTTACTCATTTTTACTCCTTTAAAATCATATTGTATCTGTTTTTTAACAATTAAAATTTTTTTTATGTTTAATAACATTATTTTAAATGGTGTAAATAACTTATCTGGGGTTTAAGATTAAATTTTATAAATTTAATTTACTGAATAGCACAAACATATAAAAATTTAATATAATAGTTTTGTTAATAATCATAACATTTATTTACTATTATTTAATATATTTGTTTTTTATTTTTCATTATTAGAATTATGCAATAAATTTTCATTGAATTGTTATTTAATAAATAAATGAAAGTTTATTTTATAATAACCTAATATTTATATTAGACTATTTTATAGTGTTGTTAAAAGGCTCCTTGAGCTGATTTTTAAAAACTGTTAATTCATTAATTTAATCAGAAAAATATTGCCATGTTAAATGGCTCTTTGGGCCTATTTTTAAAAACGTTTCGAAGTATAGCTATAATTTTCTTGCTAAATTATTAAGTTAGCCATTTTTAAAAATTAAGTTGTTTGACAACACTATTTTAAATACAAATTAATCTATATCAAACTTAAAATATTTCATTTTAATAGTATCATTTAGGAAATGTTATACTTTTGTCAATATAATTAAAAACTCTTACTTTAGTTCAATTAATACTATAATTAAATTTCTAATTAATTTAGATCATTGAAAGAATTCCAAAATTATTTTATTGAATCAGATTTTAAAAAATGATGAAACTTTTAATCATTTCAATAATATTAAATATTTAATAATTTTAGATCTATTTTAAATTAGAGTATCATTTCTTGAAATAAATTCTTTGGATTATTTAGCCATGTCAAAATTTTTATGCCTTTTAAACAAACATTATTATAAATCAAAAGATAATTCTAAACCATTTTTTCATGTTAAGTGAAGAATTGATTGCAAAATCTTTCTAAATATTTTCTTATTATGGTTCAGAAAATTTTTATATTTTTGATTGACACATTACCTTAAATTAACGCTATCAATCCAACTTTCTAATAATCAAACAATATTTTATTTAAATTTATAATATAATATAATCAAATATTATGCACAATATTTGTCACTTAATCCCCCAGTAAAGTTGTTTTCTACTCCTTTTTTTGTAAGTCTTAAAATTATAATGTTAAGAGCAGTAAACTGAGTCACCAGATTAAAGATATCAAATGTATAAATATGTCTTAAAAGATATCTTAATTAGAGAGCTGTAAAATCAAAAAATTTTGGCTGGAGCCCATCTACAGCCTGTAACATTTTTTTATAGATCTAGGCCTGGTCAGTCTGAATTTTTTAAATAAAAATTCATAAGGAAAAAATTTTCATACTCAATATTTTTTTATAAAAAATTTTAAATATTTTAACAGTGATTCTGGTGCATAATATATCACTATAAACAATGATTTGAAAGAAAAATAGGTAAAAGTTAATTTTTTAAGGACTATCAAAATATTAAAAAAAACATTTTTATAAAAAAGACAGAAAAATATTTTTTAAGACTATAACACTACCAAAGGTCTACAATAGGTGGACATAAAGAACTCCAGTAAAACTTATAAGGAAAAATTCACCTTGCTTTCCCCATTATAGACAAATCCTGGATATACCTATACAGTGACTGAAGCTTAATAGGCATAATTATCCTTCACAAATTGTAGAAAATGCTTAAGTTAACCTTTATTAAATAAAAAATGATAATATTCATTAAATATATACTACATTATTTTTTGGTATCAGCCAAAAGGGTGATATTGATGTGTCCTTGCTTAATATTTCTTATTGTATCTTGGTATGATGCAATGTTTTTCAAATTTACTCTTTTTATAATCATAGAAATTGTATAAGTATTCAATCTGTATATATCACTCTTATTAAATACCAAAATAGCAAAAATCAATTTACTATATTAGCAATATTATTTTTTATTTCAATATTAACCAACATTTTAGAGAAAGTATTTTGAAATTTCCATTAGCAGAACAACTTAGAATCTATCCTTTAGATTAGGGTTCTAGAAAATTTAAGGCCATTTCCAAACAAAATGATTTCTCAAGCCATTTTTTAACGTTTTTCACAAAATTTTTGACTTCCAAATAACAAATAATTTTTTTATTATACCTGATTTTTAATATTACAAAGTATTTCAATAAATATTTACCTAAAAAATTTATACCACAGAAAAGTGACCAACATAACTTTTATTTTTTATATAAAATATTTCAATAAATAATTTACCTAAAAAATTACTATATCACAGAAAAGGGACCAAAATTACTTTAAACTAATATTATTTACTTATTAAAATATATAAAGAAATTATTTTTAAATACCCTGTACAAGAAGGATAAGATTGAATATTAAAAGGGATAAGAAATATGATATCTATTAAAATATTATTCATCAGATAAGTTTATATATTTTTATTATAAAATTTACATTAATAAATGTTATGACATAAAAAATACAGGCAATGAATATATAAATATATAAACATGTTTTATACATAAGATACATTTAAGAAAAAAATAAAGGATAAAGATGCAGCTATAACTTATAAAAATTATATTAAATGGCTTTCCATATAACTGTAATAAGTAAATTGAAAGTTTTTATTTGTGAATATGTAATTGTTTATGATATTTATAATAAATATATATAAATTGAATTTCTATAAAAATTTATGTAAATTGTAACAGATATTTCAAGAACTACATATCTATCAATTAGCTAAGGTTTATAATTGTTCTAAGATATTCTGGGATAGTTATATCTAATCTATAAATATTCATGGAAAGTTATCCAATAAATCTTTTATCGTAACTTCGTTAAGTTCATTGAATATCTTATTTTAATTTAGCAGAAATATAAATTAATATATTTATATCAAGCTACCCTTTGATTAAAAATTATAATATAAAAGGTGATTTTAGAAAGTTATAGTTTGAATTTTATGATCAATTACAATACCATAAGAGAGAAAGGGCTGAAAATTCTTATTACCAATAAGTTTTCCATATCTTATATACTATATGGTAAAATTCTCAATAGGAACCTTATTTCAAGTCTTCAATTAAAAAAAAACATTTTAAAAAATTCAATATTTTTTTATAATCGCATGGTGATTTAATTGGTTGAATAAATCGATCCTGAACTATATTTTGTTATATAAAATATATCGAGATATGCTTTATAGCAAGTATCGGTATCTAGATACAATTTTATATCTGTTTTTAGCTTTTTAAGATAATTTTCATATACTGGAATTTAACGTTTTTTTGTCTTAAAAATACAAATATTTGAATGAAAAATTTTCATTTTATCTCATATGTGCATATAATTTAAATAAATATTTAATAAAAAATATTAAAATTTATATATAAAAAATATAAATATTCGTTAAATAATATTTTTGCTTATTTAAATCTTTAGATATCAGTTCAAAATTTTGAAAGATATTTTTATCTTATAAAGGGATATATAAATCCTTGCTTAGTCATGACGTCCATTATTTATTCAAATTGATGTACAAAATTATTTTGAGCAAATAAATTTATTTAGAATTTTTTATTTTATAGATATTTCGCTGACTAATTAAAAAATTATAAGTTTAATGTAATTTTTTTATAATAAATGCTCGTTTTAAATTTGGTCAAAGGGATGTTGACAATTTTTTTATATGGTGTTCGAATTAAGTGAGTACAAAATATTTAAATGTTTACTCTCATTATCAGAGTTTCTGTTCGGGAACAACGACATCTAGATACATTTTTAAAATTGTATTTGTATATAGATACTTTCTAGGCTCGTTATAGACCCATTTTAAGCTATGTATCTTTATTTAGATCTATTTAAAAAGTATCTTTTAGGAACTGACTATATATTTATGTTATTGATATTTTGCAAAATAAAATGCCCCAAAATAAAAGGATATGTGTTTAATATAATAAAATAAGTACCATTCTAAATCGCTAAAAGCAAAAATAATTTAGAATTTTGTTTATATCTCCAAGAAAATTTTAAAAACAATATTTAAAATAATACTATATTTAAATGGAGTTTTTAAAAAATTCGCTAAAAATGGGGGAAATATCAAGATTCCCAATTTATTTTAAATAGCGATATAGAACCGATTGCAATAAAGTGTATCTAATGAAAGATATAGTTAAAAATGTATCTAGATCAGATACAGATACAACATTTAGATATTTAACAACTCATCTAGTAGGATATACATATTACATAATCTCTTTTGTTTCCACTGGGTTCATAATATTATAATTACATTTCTTTATTTTATAGATATACATAAAATTATCTCAAAATCTTTCCCAAGATTCGCGCGTTTATAATTTTTTTTGTCTTAGAAAAAAAAACATTCAACTCCTAAATCTTATTTTCAAAAATGATTTTGCATTCATTTTCTATTAAATGTTGATCATGGATCTCCACAGTGACAACAATCACACTGATAATACAAATACTAATAATAACTATGTGATTCCCATTGGCCATCCTGGTCTTCCAGATTTTGCAGATTCCGGAGATTTAAATGTTAGCCCGGCTGAAAGCGATCCGGAGACCTGCGAAGTTCCCGTGGAAGAAATGTCGGGTGACGATGAATCGGGGGACATTACTATCAATGATACGAATAGTAAAAAGCCGCCTATCGCTAAGAAAGTAATCACGGATACCGATAATGACGAATATCTGCCACCCACGCCATCCGATCCTAATTTAAGTCAAAATGAGTTGGAGGAAGAGGAAAACTTAGAAGTTTTTGAAAGAAATACTAATATAATATATATAGTTTAAAATAATATAGGATTCTGGCAAATAGTATAATTCTATTTCCTTTATTATTTTTAAAAAAAAGCTGAGCGTCCTCAGAATTGTAAAGCCTAAAAAATAAAATTAGGCTCGAACATGGATCTTTGAAAATAAATTTTTGGATTTGTTAGACAAATTTTTTTGTTAGATCTGTTGATCTGAAAAAATAGGTTCGATATAGAAATCCACTAAATAAATGGACGGTGTCCCAATATATTTGAAAATATGGTTCAAATTACTAAAAAAAACACATGTTCTGGTTCCGAACTTTTTATAAACAATATATAAAAAAAATTTAAACTTAATAAACCTGACATGAGATTTTGAAAAAGATAACGCATAAAAAGGTTGGTCCTTTATCATTAAAACCTATTCAAATTCGTGAAAATTGGGTTCTGGTCTGGTCATAAACATGGCTAGCAACATTATAGAGCGAATTTTAGGCTTAATTTTATTATAAATAAGCCCGTTTGAAAGCTTACGCAAAACATTTTTTTCCGCCAAGTCTGAGCAGGGCTTGAAATTCATATAGAGAATTTTGAAAGCTTAGATTGCTATAAATTCATATTTTATTTTTTACACTAAAAAAATATATTACTGGCGGGGTTAGACAACTTGTACAACATTATTTTATATGCTGGGTTAAAAAGATTACGAACCAGACCAAACAAACCGCTAAAATATATTAATCTTATTTTTTAATCACTAGAGTGGTTACTTTTTAAAAAATTATAAAATTGCAAATGAAAGCCTCATAACAAAAAATTGAATGGTAAAATACTGTATTTTATTGTCAGTCAGACCTCCATCTCATATTTTACATGTAGTATAGTATATGTATACCTGAAACAAGACGCTTCCTAGACAGGGTTGCCAGGTCAAAATTTTCAAATAGCGAGAGAAATTTGGTATTTTGCGGATGAAATATGAAAATTGCGGTAGAAATATAAAAATTTCTAAAATGGCTTGGAGTTCAATTGAACCTCAGCGGCCCGCAAAGTGCCGGCATTCGGCCAGGATTGTGAATTGGCCTAGTTATCTCCCGATTAATTTTTTTTAATTACTTTATATAAATATTAACAAAGTCGTTAACGTTTTATAATTTTTCAAAGAAAATGATAAAATATGAATGAAAAATGTTGATTTGTTATTGGATAAAAATAAAATATATGATTAAGATAAGGATAAAAAGGAAGGAAATTTACAAACCAGATATGTTTTTTGAATAAATATTTAAAATCTATTTTAAAAATATTAAAATAATCAAGTACTTGTTTCAAAATTATTATTTATATATTAAAAACGTTAAAATGTTTTTAAAAAAATTGTCCGGGAGAAATTTAAAAATTGTCGTAGATTTCCAATTGTGATAGTTTTGCCGGAGTTAGATGTATGCGTTTAAACTAAAAAACCTGGCAACCCTATTCCTAGAGGTTATGCCTGGAATCAGAAATCTCCAAAGTACGATAAACATTTGTTCTCCCTCTTTTTTTAGATGTTGTTAGTTAACTCTTATCCGTGATTAATTTTTTTAAAAATGTTATTTTACAACGTATACTTTAGGAATCAGAAGATGATGAAGAAAGCTTAGACGAAGAAGGCGAGAGTGAAGAGGAAAGTCATAAGAAGCTACAAAAGAGGCGCCTGACAAATAATGTTGACTTGTCTAATGTAATTTAATTACAATTATAATTAGTTTTGAAGTTTTTAACCTTACTCTATTCACAGCTGATTTACTTTAATACAGCTGTATCTTAATACCTTATTCATTCGAAAAGTTTGTAGCCATAAAATCAGAAATTATAATACTTTTTGTAAAAAATCTTAAATAATTCGGTTGAATTCTGACTATTCCTTTGACTCAATTCATATTTTAAAATAAGAATGAGATTTCCGGACGACTTTTTTTAAAAATGATTTAAACTCGTCTGATGGTTATAGAGTAAATTTTGTACAAATAAAAATTTAAAGCTCTACCACATAAGTTATGGGACTTCAAAATTGAATATGAGCGTTACACGATAAATATTTAATTTGAAGACACAAATTAAGTGTAATCTAATCTTTTAACCCTTAAATTCCTCGTTAAGAAAATTATTATTTTTTAATAGTGTCGATGCATTTCCGGTAAAATCTTTAAATTATATTTTGAATTATCCCAAATTGGTGACGACAAACCTAACTAAATATCTTTATTATCATTATATTTAGAATATTTTGGAAAAATAAAAATTTAACTTTTATTTAAAAAAAAATAATTTGGCGGATGAAAAAATGATGAAGTATAGAAGACGCTATTTCTTTTTAGTATAACTATTTTTATATAATATTAATCTTAAATATAATAGAGACTTATAGTAGTCAAGATTTTAAGCAGACCCTGCTTAGAATATAAGCTGCATGACGGATTTTACAAAATTTAAAGATTTTAATAAACAGTAAATGAATATTAAACAATAAGTTTTTGTAGTATTTTTTTTAAATAGGCTCTGCTATAGTTAAAAATGTTAGTATTGCCTGAATACCGTAGGGCACAAAACTTTATATGTGTTTGTGCGATATAGCAAATATTTGAAGTTGATGTTAATTAATGCTAATTAATGACTAAACCAGATGATCCATTACAAAAAAATATACCAAATTATAATGTAACCTAGCACTCCCTAGTTGCTATTTTTATGAATGCGATAATTGCACTGGTATGTTTTCAATTCAAAAAACGGCTAGAAATTATATTTAAATGAAAAAGGACATTAATTACATTTCCTTTAAACAACGTTTCTGTCGATTAGTTATAGGACTACCTTAGAAATAACAAAGTATTTGAAAATTTATATTCTTTTTTTTTGGAAGATAATTACGTCAAGTATTTATGGTTCCATGTCAATTCAGCGAAACTTTTATCGCGAAACACTTTTTCGCGAAACTTTTATCGCGAATGTCGTTTATCGCGAATGGATTTTATAGCGAAACTTTTATCGCGAATCCATAATAGCGAATACTATTCCGCGAATGCAATATCGCGAAACAAATATCGCGAATTTTTTATAGCGAAACCTTTATAGCGAATACATTACCGCGAATACAATATAGCGAAACAAATATCGCGAATTTTTTATAGCGAAACCTTTAATGCGAATACATTACCGCGAAACTTTTATCGCGAATCAATAATCGCGAAAATTTTATAGCGAAACTTTTATCGCGAAACATTTTAAGCGAATACATTACCGCGAAACTTTTATCGCGAATCAATAATCGCGAAACCTTTAAAGCGAATACATTACCGCGAAACTTTAATCGCGAAAATTTTATAGCGAAATTATTATCGCGAAGACAATGTAGCGACAATTATTTCGCGAAGATATTATAGAGAATTTAATATCGCGGTAATTGCTAATAATGACTAATTTATTTTGAATCATTTTTTTATAATTATATTATTTGAATAATATTTTTTTAATTCACATAGTTTGTAATTTTCTTATAACCTTAAAAAAATTTTACAATGATTAATTAACTTAGACTGGTTTATGAAATTTGTTATTGAAATACACTTTTTTCGCTATCCTAACCTTTCCTTCGAAGTTCTTATTTTATAATAATCGCGCACAAGGAACTCAGCTTTATCAATATATTAATCATTGAGTTTATTAGTTAAATCTTGATATTTATTGGCGAAATTGATATTTGCCAAAATTTTGTTACTAATAGTTTTTTCCTTTTACGAGCTACTATACTCGTTTAAATACTCAATTGGTACAAATAAAGCAAGAAATAATGATATAATTTACAATCAGTTCGTAGAACTATTCAGCCGCTAAATTTAACGGCGCTGATATTAAAATATATAAATCTTGTTTATTCCTCTGTCATACACAAGTTGAAGCATATAAAGAAGTTACTCAGAATTATCAAACTATTATGGTAATTATAGATATAAATAGCTTAAACCTTTGATTTTGAATGATACGATCAAGTTAGAATATTTAGAAAGAATTAAATAAAAATGTAAATATAAGCCTAAAAAATATCTAAAAATTTATTTTTAATTCTACATTCAAATGCTGGCTCAGAAATGAGTTTAATGAATATGATTAGGCGAAAAAATTTTTCTTCGGTCTCATTTGATTTATTAGAGGCCGAATTAATGGTAAAGCAGAATTTTGACATGAATTGCGAAGAGTTAAAATTTATTTCATATATAATAAACTTTTAAATAAAATAAATTCCTTCCGATAAATATGTAGATTTGGATCTAATTTTTATATATTTTGACTTTATATTCAAATTTAAATTTGTAAATTATAATTTGAAAAAAATTATTCACCAATATTAATATATAAAAGAATTGCAGTTGTGGCGCTTTCCCGCTTTTTATCCTTTAGTCATTAAAAATCCCACCTCACTCTTAGAATATGGGAGGTATGGCCGGGCCTAAAAATTTTTGCAATTTACAAAATGAATGAGAAAATTGAATAATACACCTATTTAATATAATTAAAATATAGCCACTTTTTATAATTATTTTTTATTATCCTTCATTTATATATTCCTCTCAAAATTTAGAAAATGTTTTTAACAACCCCCCCCCCCCCCACCCTTGTCGTGGTAAAATATGTAAAAGTAAATAAATAAACACTTAACCCATTTTGCCCTGATTTCCCGATATTGGAATATCTTTATTTTCTTGATTTGGATTTTCTATTTATTTTCAAAAAATCCTGATTTTTTTAATTCCATTTTATTAGAAAAAATGAGTAAAAGTGCTTACAAATTGAGTAGAAGCGTTTAGCGTTGTTTTCACAAATACGCTATGATTTAAATTAAACTGGTATTATTTTAAAAAATGATGAAAACTATTATCCGTTTTTTTAATTTTTATATTGTTTAGTTAGACTTGTGAAATCAGCAAAAATAAAAAACTAAAATAATTGAAGATCTAATGATTTATTTCCATAATTTATTCTTCATAAATATTACAAATTTATGTAATCTAGAATATTTTGAATTTTTTTTTTGATTAATCATAACTTTGCAGTTATTTCTATTTATTAAAATGCGAATAGAAGAAAAAGGAAAGGTCATAATATTCAAATGAATTAGTTACTATTATTTCAAAGTTATATCGATGTGCATTATCTCAAAATTGTAATTAGGAGGCATTAATTATCAGTAAAATTTTCTATAATTAAAATAATCTGAGAAAATCAATAAAAAATTCTTAGCTTTCAGTATATTTTTTTTATCTAGATTAGAAATAAAGTATTACTTTAAATGACATAAAGCACACTTTTAAATTTTATGTTGGGGGGGGGAGGAGGATTAACTTATTTTGCTAAAAACTTAACCCAAAATGTCCGCTCCATACTTACAACCATGAGTGAGTGAGACCAGGAAGACTAATATATTTTCTATTACATCAGATAGAGGTTACATGCTTATTAAATAAACAATACGTAATAAAATATTCTTAAAACATTAGCGTTTATGATTTAAGAAACTTCGGTTGGTAAATTGATATTGAATATATCGATTTCACTTAAAATGAATTCACAATTTTCGCGGTCATGCGCTCGTTATAATAATTTCGCGCAAATACATTCGCGGTAGAAAATTCGCTATAAATGGTTCGCGATTAAAGTTTCGCTATAACGAGTTCGCGATTAAAGTTTCGCTAAAATGTATTCGCTCTAAAGTATTCGCGGTTTAGGTTTCGCGGAAATAAATTCGCGATAATGAGTTCGCGATCAAAGTTTCGCCAAAATGTATTCGCTATAAAGTATTCGCGGTTAAAGTTTCGCGAAAATAAATTCGCTATAAAGAGTTCGCGATAAAAGTTTCGCTATAAAGTATTCGCGGTTACGGTTTCGCGGAAATAAATTCGCTATAACGAGTTCGCGATCAAAGTTTCGCTATAATGTATTCGCTATAAAGTATTCGCGGTCATGGTTTCGCGGAAATAAATTCGCGATAATAAGTTCGCGATATTGTCTTCGCTATAAAAGTTTCGCGGAAAAAAATTCGCGGAATTGGTTTCGCGATATTGCCTTCGCTAGAAAATTCCTTCGCGATAAACGACATTCGCGAAAAAGTGTTTCGCGATAAAAGTTTCGCTGAATTGACCTGATACGAGTATTTATTGCTACCCAGCTATCATCCTTCCATTGATATCTTAAATAATAATTTTTTTCATTCCTTCTTTCTATACATGATAGGAAAAGAGAAATAATTAAAGGAAAACATAGCTACTTTTTTAAAAAAAATTGGGCTAATAACGCGCTACCTTAAAGAAAATAAAGATTGTTGTAGAGCACTCCTTTTTAAAAAAATTTATATAAAAAATATCTACTATAAAAATTACTATTTAATTTTAATATTATAATCTTTAAATTAAATTTACAATTTCAAAATGTGCTTTATAAATTATAAATCTAATTTATCACGTAATTTAAAATGCAGCCAATAGAGATAGATATAGAAGAAAATTTTGAGACAGATGATTACCACTTAATTTCATTAGAAAAATGATATTCTAAAATTATCTTTCCCCGCAAATGTGGATGCATAAAATATTGAAGGACCTTATTCAATAAATTTAGCAGTTTCAACCTAGAAAGACATCTTAAGATATTATTCATAATTTTAAAAATATTACTATCTACATTATTTAAATTTAGAATGTCCACCCCTAAAATTTCATGGAAATTGGAAAATTTCTAGATAATTTTGGTGTAGTAGAAGAGGCTACATCAAATAGATCATATTTAAAACTTAATTTTTTAATAATCCCTTTTATTAAATTGATTACATTATCACTTGATACCAAGATATCCTATTGGCAGGAGTGATGACGAATTTTGGATAATTTTCTAGTAATGAAAGAGTCTTTTATATTAGATCTATCAGATATCCTTTACATTTGCACAACACATAGTTGGGACTCATGAAGGTAAAATGAAGTATTTTTGTTCTGATCTTTATTAACTTGATTAAATCTTGGATCCAAAGAGAAGCTAAACAAGCTATCAGTAACCTTGACTAATTAGTACCCACTGAAGATACATTAGCTAATAAATTCTCAAATAGGCCACTTCCAAACACAACGTTTTTCCCAAAACGTTTTCCGAGGCACGTTTTTCACAATATTTTTCTTCCAAACAACCAACGATTTATATTATACAGCTGATTCAATATATTTTAATAAATCCCCAAATGGGACCAATAATACTTCAAAGCTAATATTAAATTATTAAAATATAAAAAGCATAAAAACTTCATACAGGGCCAAATTATTTTTGAATAGGGATAAATTATTTAAGAGAAAGATAAAACTTAATTCTTAAATAGATTACTTTTATTAAAATATTATTCACCAGATAAGTTTATATATTATTATTATAAAATTTACATTAATATATATAATGACATAAAAAATATAGGCGATGAATATCCGAAATATATAATACATGTTTTCAATATTGAATTAAAAGATAAATTTAAAAAATATAAAGGATAAAGATTCTATTGATGCTGCTATATTATTAAAATTATATTAAATGGTATCCACACTGTTATAATAAATAATTTAAGATTTTTATTTATAATATATTTGTAAATCTATTAAAATTATATAAAATTTCTAGAAAAATTTATCCAAATTGTAAGAAATATTTTATTAACAACATATCCATTATTTTAGCTAAAGTTATTCTGGGACAAATGTAATCTTCTATTTTATTTTTATAATAATGATCATGGAGAGTTATATATTTCCATTATCACAATTTCATTAATGAATATCTTGTTTTAATTTAACCCTCTATTGCGCGACATATTAATAAATGATATAGTTTTTTAAAAATTATTTTGTAAAAAAAATTTCAGTATGTGTATACACAATGCGTGTAAAAAGTACTATATTTTTTCAATTTTAAACCTATTACAAAATATAGATATATAATTTTATTATTTGATAAATAATATAATAAAACTAATTTATATTAATTTTCATGAAATAATTTAAAACAATCTTTTTTTTCAAGTAAAACATAATGATACACCACATTTGATGCAAACCACTTTCGTAACCAATTTACTCCCAAGGTTTTTGCATCGCGCATTTTTACTATATTTTAGCCAATGTGCTATTAATCTTCTCCTATTTCTTTCTGCGGAATAAGACTCGTCGACCCCTTGCGCGATTTTTCTTTATATTTAATGTAATTGATATTAGACTTTTTACGCTAGCGTTCATATTTTTGTTACATTTACAGATTATCTCTGCTATTGAAATTTTAAATGTTAATAATGGAATCTGTACTTTTACCGGTAACTTAAAATCTACAAAATCTCGTCTATACATTAACCCAGAATTTATGAGCATCATATCAAGTATTTGGAATACTATACGTTGATACCATTTACGTGATGTTATGTGAATTCGATGCAATCAATGAATCCATGAAATCTACACCTCCCATATTTTTATTCTGCTGGACACGGAATTTTCTGTCGTTCCTTAAAATGGAGCGAATCTTTTATTTGTTCCCATCTTTTCTGGCACATTACATTATCAGCTGATGGTTGCCTTGTATTTGATGACCAATACAGTCTTGATCTTAGAAGCTTTAAAATTGCTCTAGTTTATTTTTCTCCTTAAGCCATTTCTTTCTATAAATATATTACTCTTATCTATCTGTTATCAATATAAAATATTTGAAAAAATATATGCTTAGTTAAATAAAATCCAATCTTAATTTTGCAGGCAAGGTATCACATAATCTTAATATACCCATGCCCATCCCATTTCTCCAAATTAACAGGTAATCCTTATTTCTTTAGAAACGAAAAGTGGCACATATTTTCCTGAATTTATTATATTATATATATTTTTATTTAAAATGCAAATATTTATGTTGCGCCTTGCGTATAGAAATACAAATAAATAATATTTTGCTAAATCAATAATTTTACATTTTATTAAAAAATTAAATATCGAAAATTTTTCGGGAATGATAATTTACAACTAGCCCGCCCTCTTATTATTTAAATATTTAATTCTAAAAATTTAGGACGAAACTGTGGATGATGGCTATTCAATGTATGGTTTACGTAGATCGCACAGGAAACGAAATTATCGGACGGATATTAACGTATTTCTTAAATAAACATTTTTAAATTATTAATATCAATATTAAAAAAAATATAATATAGGTAAATTATTAAAATAAAAGGGCACATGGTAATCATAATTTTCGTAAGCTTGATGTATGACAAGTTTAGTATTTACGACTTGACAGTTATAATTCATATCATAAATATTAGGCTAGTTTTTTTTATCACGTTTTATTTTACCCAATTACCTTGAAGAATGTATCTAAATTAATAAAAAAAATATATTCTTTATTTGTATTATAGGATCAAGAAAGTGACGATGAAAATGACGACAGCACATTTAGAAAAAGACGAAAAAAAAATATTAGGTTTCATTATGTTTTGTGTTATTTTTTCTATTGTTTGAAACCCGATTGTAATCCCTTCTGTTTAATGTTTGTTCTAAATTTTGTCAACGACTCATGATGAGTTTTTGATCGAAAAATCAACAACTGATTGTTACCAAATTAGTCGATTAATCGACCAATTTTATCAAATATTAACTGTGTTCATATTGGAAAAGGTCGGTCGCATTTTTAATGTAATTACAAAGATTACAATGTTCATATAACAATTCGAATTCATGGAATTTAAATAATTACTATAATGATAAAGAATTTCTAATTTAGAATAATATTTTTTTTTACTTTGACTGGCTCATTATCATTTTCACTTTAATGAATAATTGAAAATTGAGAAATAATTATGAGAATAAAAATATAAATGGCGTTAAATTTAATTGTATCTTGTAAATTATTAATACACCACTTTAAAATTGGTCGATTTAGTCGACTAATTTGGTCACTCGAGTTTTTGGTCAAGTTACTCCACTACAATTTATTGACACTACTCCCGTTTTATTAACATTCCAATTTTACCCTTTGCGATTTCCTTAGAAATCTTTTATGACATTTTCTCGCATTTTTTATATTTAATTGTACATACCTTTTTTAGATTATAATTTATTATAACAAAACATCGGCCATTGATATAAATAAGAATTGAACGCACATCGGGGACACCACTATTTTAAATTATTTTCAAAATTATCTTTATTTAGTGTTATAAAAAAAATTCAAAATTTTGAGGGGGCTATTCAAATTTTTCAGTGGGCTAGAACCCCAGCGCGTCTCTTTCTCCTAATGACACTAGTGACGTACATAGTGTTAAACGGCTCGAATTAAACGGCTAACAAATTATTTCAGCCAAAAATATTACGCAAGATAGATGACAGAAAGATTGGGACGTCTATTAATAAAATCTCAAGACGTGCATATAATATATTTTACCCAAAATATTGACTTTTAAAAATTTAGCCGTTTAACAAAAATAAATTTATTATTGCAGGATTATTAATTTTTAAAAAATTAGATTTATAAATTTAATATTTGGTTTTAAAATATAAGTTGGACAAATTTTTATATTAATTTTATTTTTTGACTGCATCTGCTTACCCCTTTAGTATAAAATAAATAAATAAATAATTTATATAATTAATAATGTACGCGAAAGTGACGAAGAGTATTTAGAAGAAAATGAGCAAGTGAGTGGGGCAGATATATAGTGATATTTCGTCCAATGATCGATTTTCCAAGAGTGACGATTCCTTTATTGATGATGGATCAGATTCCGATGATCGCAGCTATACCAAACATCGGAAACGTCACAAGTTTACATTCATCTTATTTAGTATATATATTTTATTTTTTATATATGACTATAATACCTTATTAGGCCAATGGCGCATGAGAAGTTGAAACTATTAATTTATTTATATAAATATATTATATACAAAATAATTAATTCAACAATTTTTTTTTACCCTTTGTTTGGAAATAAAACAAAAATTGATGGAAACGCATAGGAAACCACTTTGAAAAAATGTTCTGTCTGAAAATAGGCTTACATAAAATCATTAAAATTTTGAGATAGTCAGATTTAGAATTTTTAAAATAGAAAAATAATAATGTTTTCTGGAAAATATAATATACTTTATAATTATAATTTGAAACACATTTAAAAAAAATTGAACAAAATTATAAAAAGAAAAGCTTAAGATTTTTTACGTCTACAATTAGTTTCTTTTTAATTCTTTTCAGAAATCCTTAATAAAGTGGTGTTTAAAATATAAAAAAAATCGATTCACAAACTTTTGAAACTTTATCGAAAAACAAGAAATAATTACCTTATCTTTTTACTACTAAATTTTTTAATAAATATTCTCATATTGTAGAAATCGATCTAAACACAAGGTTAGTCGTTTGAGCAGTGATTCCGAGGAAGGTAGTGATTTGGATTATGATGTTAATCAACGTTCGGGCAAAACTAAAAAGAAGAAAAAGCATCATCATAAAACCGGGAAAGGGGGCAAGCATCGCATAAAGGACAAATACAAGGAGAGGGGAAAGGATGATAATGATGCCGAGGATAGTAACGATGAATGGTTAAATTGTGGGTTCAAAAAAAGGCCCAAAGTTAAGAGCTGTTCTTATTCCCCAGATGAGAACGATGAGGGTGTCGATTCACGCCAAAAACACGGCCGAGGAAAACAGTTTAAGGATGATGCAGACGATCCCTCAACTTATAATACTAGGCGAGCTGCTATAGCCAAAAATATATGGTATTAGAATTTTTTTAAATCAAAAAAATGAGTAAATTAACTTCTAAATTTATTGATTGAAAACACCAAAAAGTTACAAAGAACAAGATAGTTTAGACGAGGCGGACCTCAGTTCAAAAGCCGACCCAGACCTAGATAATGAATTCCACGATAATTTATTGGAGGAGAATGAAGAGGTTCCTTTTTTTAACGATGCCCAAAATGTGCCTGCTGTAAAGTCTATCGATAAAGTTTTGGCTAAAAAATACTCTGTAGATGGAGGTTTATATAGTATAGATATATTTTTTAAAAATTTTCCTGCAGGGTAATTGGGTAAAAAAAAGGACGGATATAGGTATAAGATACTTGTTCAAAAAAAAGCATATTTTCCTACAGGATAATTGAAGCGCTCTGATTTAAATATGCAAATTCCTTGTTAAAGAATTTCTTTAAAAAAAGAAGATTTGAACAAAGGATATGTTTTATATTTTTTTCTAATGTGAACTTATTAGTATCGCCTTCTTTATCAAATTATTAATTGTTTTATATTTAAACTAAAGCAGCTATTAATAATCTTTAATAATTAAAATAAACTTCCAATTACTTAAAAGCTATATCATTTATGTATGACAAAGAAATCTATTCATGAAAGCACGTCCTATCACCGATCAAAATTTCTTTATGGAATAAGTATTTTGTTGAATGTTATATCTTTTTTTTAAAATAGAAGTTGATGGTGCGTCATCGAATTCAAGGAAATATCAACTCCAAAACGACAGAAAAGCAGGTGAAATGAAGTTTTTAATTAAATGGGTAGGAATCTCCCATTTACACAACACATGGGAAACCGAACAAAATTTGAAAGACCAAGAGGTCACTGGTATTAAAAAGCTGGATAATTTCATTAGGAACGAGAAGGAACTGGATATATGGTGAGTTAGTTTTAGATAGATTTTAAATTCAAATATTTTATTGTATTCTGTTGCGTCATCTGACTTATTATTTTGTTACGAATTTTAATTTTTCTGTAATTGTTTGTGAGCAGTAGTGAAAGTCACGGTAAGGTCTTTGGTCCGGACCGGGTCGATGCATCCGGACCAGACAATGGTCTTTTAAAAAGATCCATCCAGATCGTCGTCCTTAAAAAAAGACCGGTCCTGAATAAAAAGACCGGTCATGGACCAATCTTTTTATTTTTTTGGTATTTTAAAAATATTTTTGTTTTTTCCTAATTTAATTCTTGTTTATTGGGATTATAAGTAAAATATTGCAAAATAAAATTTAAACCAAATAGAAAAATAACATAAAATAAAATATAACAAAAAAAAATTAGATCAAAAATATAATATTTTGAAGAATGAAACAAACTTAAATATTAATAAAAGTTTGGTCCGGTTCGTAAAAAATCAAAAGACCTGTAAGTGTTCCTCAGAAAAGATCGGTCACATAAGTAATTTCTTATGGATTCATATTCTTGATGCTTTTTTCATTTAATTACGAGCCAATTTTAGAAATCCAAAAAAGCCAAATTATTGGTCTTAATATTGTTGTATACCGATATTTGATTGGTCTCACCCCTACTAGAAGATTGATTCATATGATTTTATCTTTCAGAAATGCGTTCTTTGTTCTTATTTTAGTTAGCCTTATAAAAGATTTTACTTTTATTTAATTTTTGCTTAAGAATGGGCTTTTAAATCTAAATTCAAAATAATAAAATTCGGAAATTTTATTTGTACAGTATCCTTTTTTTTATAACAAATATAATGGCATTATATAATTCTAGGAAGCATCATGCCTCACCCGAAGATTTAGAATATTATTATTGCCAAAAAGAACTGTCAGAAGATTTGCTAAAACAATATCACCTTTTAGAAAGAATTATAGGTATAATTTGCTCTCATTAACAATTTAATTATTAAGCCTATATATTTTTTTATCCCTCTCATCTTTATTTTTTTTAAATAAAATTATATAATGTTTTTAAGCTCATAAAACTGTCGAAAAAATTACGCTTGTTAAGCGCAGAATCAAGATAAACGCGTCTTCTACTGCCGGCCAAAATTTACACGAACTAACGGAATCAATAAAAAATTTGGTTGAAGAAGGTTCTGGAACAACTGATATTAATGATAACATAGAAGATAATAATAATCAACTTAAAGCAAACTTTGAGGAACTTGAAGATAACGAGATTAAAACGGAAGGAAAGGAATCTCTGGTGGATCAACAAACGATGGCGAATGATATAAAAAGAGGGGCCACTATGGAGGACATAGAGGAAGAAATAGAGAGGGAAGAGGAGATGATCGAGAAAGAAAATATGTACTTGTGCAAATGGAATGGGCTGCCCTACTTCGAATCCACTTGGGAGGATGAGGAATTTGTAAAAGAAAAATTTCCTAGTATTATAACAGAGTACGAAATGAGGCAAGCATCCGAAACCACTCCTTACAAAGGATGCAAAGTATGATTGCATTTTCTTAACTCTCAATGTTATGTAATTTTTATGGGGATTTACAATAAGACATAACTTGATTTATTTAAAAGGTTATTTCTCATACCGAAATAGTACAATTGTGACAATTTGTATTAGATCTTACTTTATGCCATTAATTAATAACAATATTATTGAAGCTGCCACTTTTAGAGATTTAAATATATTTAGTATGGCTTGGATTCAAACAAAATTTTAATCCAAACTCTAACTTTCTTTATTATAATCAGGTCCTTAGGATTAGGCCTAGATTCTCCCTGATGAAAGAACAACCAGATTATATGGGAAATAGCTCCTTGATACTCCGGGATTATCAACTAGATGGGGTAAACTGGCTTGCACGATCTTGGTGCAAGTAAACTAATTAAAAATTTTACAATACTTGTAGTCTTCGTACGCCAATCATTTTATAACCATATTCATTTTCATTCATTTGATCGATTTCAAAATGAACTCATTATTCATGTCTTTTGTTTAGCTTAAAACACTTATTCCCTTTACAACTTATTTAAAAGAAACAACCGAGTTATTTTAGCGGACGAGATGGGTTTGGGGAAAACCATTCAAGTGCTCAGCTTCGCCAATTATCTTTTCAATCAGCACCAATTGTATGGTCCATACTTGATTGTAGCACCCTTATCAACGATTGCCGCTTGGCAGAAAGAGGCTTCCCTCTGGACCCCACAATTTAACACCGTCGTTTATCTGGGCGATATTAAAAGCCGAGGACTGGTTAGCAATCTTATTTTAAGTTTACATTAAAAAAAAGAATTTAAGTGAAGTAAAGGTCCATATATGATTGAGACAGAAGGAAAGGGATATAAAGATGGTCTGACTAACAGGTCGAGAAACAAAAAATTTGGTTCGAAATCTGATGTATATTATGTATCATGTCAAACCTTTTAGAGAAGCTATAAATTGCGTTTCGTTATATTACCAATAAATTTAGATACAAGAATATGAATGGTTTCATCACGGTACAAAAAGACTGAAATTCAATCTGGTCCTAACAACATACGAACTATTACTCAAAGACAGGGTTTATATTATTGTACTATCTTAATATCATAGTTGCAAACGATATAACTTTTATTCACAGATATTTTTTATTTTTAGTGGTACTGACTAATACCATTGGTGAAGTAGCAGGTGATTTCGTAGCTATAGCTAATAGTACTCTACTTTTTATATTTGATTAAAAGTAGTGCTGTAAATATTATTGAGGAAAAAACCTCAATGTTTATATTTAATAATAATAAAACTAATAAATTGCCCGTCAAAACTAATGGGGAATGATAATTATCTCCTTACCTTTGCCATTTTATTTGAAACCCATATCCAATTTCTATTTTTTTTAACTCCCCCCTCCCCCCCCAATTCACAAGTTTAGCCCATTAAGACTAAGAGTAGAGAAAAAATATTTTAATTAACTTTTACTTGATACCCATAACTGTGTTGTTAAAATATTAATGATCACCTATATCTAAACTCGCCCATTAATGGGGAGAGGTTGACCTTCAGTTGAATAAATCTTCTGATATGCTATCGATTGTTACTTATATTGGACATATCTATCTTCATACAAAAAAACAACTTTAAAAATAAATAGCAATAAAATTTGAATACCCACAATGGTATAAGATAAGCTGCATCGGCCAGGGCATAGCTCTAAGCTGCTGCTATAAATGTAGAGTTATTTAATTAGTCACGAGTTCGATTCAAAATCCAGGTATTGTTACAATTTATCACAAAATAAGACAAAGAATGTGACAAAATGTGTCTACAGAAACTGCGTATCTTATTTACATCTTAATCACTACTATTATCTGAACACCAGAGCTCCCTTTAGTCAGAATTTCTGTTTGTTCCCCACCATTTGAAGGCGGGAGTTGTATTTTAGTGATCATTGAGAGGAAGAAATAAAAAAAAGAAACAAAGATATGAAAGAAGAATTCTAAAAAAATAGTTATCTTATCTTATCTTGCACGTTGGTCATAGACCTGCCCAATTTAGGTGTATTGCTTGATTAGAAAGGTTGTACAAAACAGGATCAGCATGCTAAATTAAACAAATCTAGGGCAAAGTACAGGTCCTTCAATCACGACAACTATCTATTCTCTTGAAGATTAGATTATTCAAAGTTCTAATAATGGCTTCCCTCTATTATGGCGTGGAAACTTGGAAGGATTCCAAGTTAGATAATATCAAGACGCAGACATTTATACGCAGACATTTATAAATAAATGTCTAAGATATATTACCAGGACATTTCCCACTAAATACTACTAATTATATGTTATGGGCTAGATGCGATATCCTTATAATCGTTTATAAAAACTTACAGGTTGTCTTCAACACACTCGCATTTGTAGCCATATAAAAAAAATGAAACAATATATAAATATTAATAAATTAAAAATTATACGAAACAAGAAGTACAAATAAAGGCAAATAAATGATTGACACAACTGTATAGGCATAAAAAATGTTTACGCTTTTTCCATAAATGTTTCCCATTCCTTGTCCAAATAAATTTTTTTTAGATGCCGCCTCTTTAAAAGTATCAAATAAAACTCCATTTACCTTTCTCAAATATTCAAAACTTTTGGTGGCGACGACATGAAGTAATAATAAGCGTAGGAGAAATCTCGCCACATTTAGAATCAACAGCATATATTCTTGTCTTTATCTTGTTTTCACTTATTAGCACTGAAAATATAATGATATGGTTTAATGACAATGCATTAGAAAATCATCTCGACACACTTTTTTAAAATCTAAAAATAGTCAAATGAACATCTGCAATAATTTTTATATTTGAAAATATAAAAATAAATGTATCACGTCAATACCGCGAAACTTTTTCATCGAAATGTATTACCGCGAAATTATTCTCACGAATGCAATATCGCGAATGTATAATACATATTTAATTATGATTTATATTTGACAAATGATTGATATAATTAATATTAAGTATTAAAATTCTACTTACTTTCTAGTAAGGAGTTCTCATTAATATTTTTCATTTTTTAAATATATCGGAAACCATAAATTTGTTACCTTTTGGAAATTTCTGGCTGATAATATTTTTCCACCGAATATCTATTTCTCTAAACACTGGCCAATTTTTTTTAGTTTGCTATTTAATGCTTATTAATTATTTTATTTTCTCATAACATATTTGAGAATATTTTTTATATCATCTGTCTGACTGTTTAATTTTATTTATAATAATTATAGAATATGAATTAAATATTTTAATAAAAACATGTTTTCTATATTGTATCTTAATAAAATAAAACAGGAATTTTTAAACTCATTCACGTGGGCTTTATTGGCCGTCGACGAGGCTCACCGACTCAAAAACGAAGCCTCGCTATTATATCGCGAGCTAATTGGGTTTAGGACGAATTTTAGACTACTAATAACAGGCACACCTCTTCAGAATTCCCTCAAAGAGCTTTGGGCCTTGTTGCACTTTATCATGCCACAAAAGTAATGATAAATTAAACAATTTAAAAATATAATAACTATATTTTAAAAAATACATATAAGAGAGCTGGGCTAAAAAAGGAACTCATTGAGATCCTAGGAAACTCAAATAGTTGCCTCATAATACGGCGATTTTATAAAATTTTAAAAGAGGATCCATGATTAATTTGAGGAATTTTTTGCCAAAATCTTAAAAAAATGATAGCCTAGGGACTCTTTGGTAGAAATAACTATTGGGATTCGAAAAGTCGTGGTACTTCCTAATTTTTGACCTTATAGCTATAATAATTAAATCAATGCTTGGGTCAGAGGAATATTGGGAGACACAAGTATAAGGTGTTTTCCTCCAAACCTGAGAATGTTTGTGAGCCTATCTGGTCTTTTCTCATCAGACAGGGATAAATGGACGGATTCCAGTAAGTTTGTAGCAGGTAAACCCTAATTTATTCGAGATTATAGAGTTAATAGCTCTATGGCGACTTAACCATCCTTTAGAATATACGACTGAACCATCCTTTAGAATATAAATACGTTAGACCATTTCGGCCCTTAGGATCGTAGTCTTTCCTGCAACATTTATATTTGGTTGGACATATGTCACAACCAAGTTTATACCCTATGGCCACCCTTAGTTCCTCATCGGATAACAAAAGACCAAGATTGACACTAGGGAAGCTTCATATCATTCATGGCCAGAGTTTTGTCCCAAGTATTTGAGGATCGAAGTGTCTTTAAAGAGGAATTGATCCCTACTAATATTGTTAAACGGCATATTTTTAGCCGATTTTAAAAATCGGCTAACTTGATATTCTATTAATAAAAATATTATGCAAACCTTAAGATTTTGCTCATAGGTGGCATAACATCTTGAACATTTATTAACGAAATCTCGAGGCTTAGACAATATATTTCTGGCTAAAATATTGAGTTAGCCGTTTTTAAAAATGGGTTCAACGAGCCGTTTAACAACACTACTCCCTATCAATTCTTAAAGTTAGCCAGAAGAGGATTAAGAAGGCCTTTTTGTACCGAGGACTGTGGAAAAGATAAAAACATAAATTTTTCTTCCAGCAATAGGCAGTTTCAAATAGATTATCTTTACCACTCACAAGCTTACTTATAAAAAATATATATACACAATTATTAAATCCATATTAATTAACCCAACTTTTATAAAGTAAAGCGCGGCTTTTCTATGTTTATCCCCATCCTCAGATAAACTTAATTCGTGACTGATTCGTAAGTGAAAGGAAAAAAAGCACTCACATGTTATTGATTTCACACAAAAAATTAAAATACTAGATTCGATATTTGGGAAGACTTTGAAGTGACTCACACAAACGCCGATAAATCGGGATACACAAAACTTCACAAAGAGTTGGAACCTTTTATCTTAAGGAGAGTCAAGAAGGATGTTGAAAAATCTCTGCCAGCTAAAGTTTTTTAATTTCTTTTTTTTAAAAATGTGAATTTGTTATAATAGAGTTTTAAAAAAGTTTCCCATGTATAAATTCTGCTTCAAATAATTATTTATTTCAAGCATGTTATTTCCCCTTATACTTTTAACACCAATTTTTTGCTTCCCACATTTTTAGGTAGAACAGATTTTGAGAGTTGAAATGACAAGTTTACAAAAGCAATATTACAAGTAAATATTTTTTTATAAACTAAATTAATAATGCAATATCGTCAAAATATGCTATTCCATTCATTTTTTGATAGATATGCTAAATTTTGGAAAATCCCCATAATTTCAATAATAGAAGGAAGGAGGTTATTTCTGTTTTTACAATTTTATCAAATGATTTTAGTTAAAAAATTAAAGGTCACCATTACTTCCCACATCCGTCTATCAAAATTATCTAATAAATTAACTTCAACCATTGGGGAAGGGAATCAAGATAATTTTATGCATGTTTTACCACGCATTTAAATTCTAACGCAATTCAAGTTTCATATGATTTATTTTTTTAATAGGTGGATTCTGACCCGCAATTACAAAGCTCTTTGTAAAGGCAGCAAGGGTAGTACGTGTTCCTTTCTTAACATCGTCATGGAACTTAAGAAGTGTTGTAATCACGCCAACTTAACTAAACCAGAACTAAGTTATCCTCCCAACGTTAATCCCCTACAGGTTTTTGTCATGCATATATAAATAAAAATTTTTTAAATTTTGAATTTAAAACAATTTTTTTTAACAAAAAGCATTTGATTCGGGGTAGTGGCAAGTTACTTTTACTGGATAAATTGCTGTGCCGACTTAAAGAAACAGGGCATAGGGTTTTGATATTTTCTCAAATGGTTCGCATGCTGGATATTATTGCAGATTATTTGCAATATCGATGTTTTACTTACCAAGTAAGAGATATTTTAAAGAAGAATTCAAAGATATTTAGATGTTTAATGCTAGAATGAATAATTTAATTTAATGATATACACTGTAAAATCTATAAGGTCATTCCATCATTGTATGTAGTTTTTTCTGACTTGTTTAGATTGTGTATATAAATTTATTCCGTTTTATTAACAATCTTACGCGAAAATTTATACGAATTCATTATAATCATTTAAAATATTATATTATTTGTGAATTTCAAAAATTAGCGGTTAGACGGTTCTGTTAGTAACGAGCTCCGAAGACAAGCTTTAGATCACTTTAACGTCGAAAATTCTCAGGTATATATATAATATTTTTGATAAACTATTTTTTTTTATTAGTTAAAAAAAATGTATATATAAGTATTTTGAACTAATATTAATAAATTTAAATTAGGATTAAAACACGTACAAACAAGCCTAAAGAATTATTCTACAAACTGAAAAACCTTTATTTTGCTAAAAAAAAAAACGATTAACATATCTAAAAAAGTTTCCAACCATTTATAAAGAATTTTTTTAACATTCATCTAGAGACCTCTATAACCCTTCTCAAATAAGTATAAAAATCGTGAGGACAAATTGTCCACCGATAAAACTTTCCCAGACTAAATATCTTTTAACAAATTGTCCGCCGATAAATCTTTTATCAGATTTAATGTACCTTAACTAATTGTCCTCCGATAAATCTTTCCCCAGACATAATGTCCTTTAACAAATTGCCCACCGATAAAACTTTCTCAGACTAAATATCTTTTAACAAAATTGTCCGCCGATACGATAAATCTTTTCTCAGACTTCATGTCCTTTAACAAATCGCCAATAAAACTTTCCCAGACTAAATATCTGTTAACTAATTGTCCGCCGATCCAAACTTAATGTCCTTTAACAAATTGTCCGCCGATAAAATCTCAGATTAAATATCTTTTAACAAATTTTCTCCGATTAATCTTTTCTCAGACTTTATGCCCTTTAATAAATTGTTCGGCTATATTTCCCAGATCAAATATCTTTTAACAAATTGTCCGCCAATAATTCCCATTAATGTTTCCCGTATTTAATTTGGATCATATTTGAAGTATTGAATTGTGAAAATATTTTTATATTTTATTTCTATTTAAAAACAATTTTCATATAAAAAAAGATTTAGTTTTCGCAAAACTTCCCGATATCGAGACATAAATTATTTTTTTTTACTGACAATTTTATCAATTTTGAATATTATAAAAATTTTATCAATTTTTTTATACAAGATTAATGCATTTTTTAACATTTTAATTTTGCAAGTATTTTATAAAACCGATCCGATATTTCGAATTGATGTTCTATTTACCATCAATTTTTTATTTTTTGAAACAATGTCATAAAAAAATTTATATTTTTTCAATTAAAAATACAACTAACTTTCACGAATGAATAAATGTTTTTTTGCAAAGTTTGGAAAAGTTTTTGAGCAAAAAAAATATTTTTTTTAAATCTTGGATATCATCTTGAAAGATTTTTTATGTATGAAAATTGCAAAAGATTTTGGCATTTTTTTTCTTAAATTTGATCGAAAATCTATCTTCATGCTCAAAATTTGTTGATTATAAATTTTGGATTTTCTCCTTCCCATTTAATTTGGGTTTAAAAATGCGTGAATAATCTATGGGGGTACTACCACTCACAATTTTTTGTGCTGACTGTAGTTATCTGTTAGCGTAAGAGACACGCAACTTACGTAAACGCTCACGGAAAGTAAAAAAAAAGATAAAAGAAAAGCTCGTTTCTGATTAAATAAAACTTTTGATTAAGGAAGGGTTAAAATAAGATATTAATTTTAAACTAAAATATTGATGTTATTTATTGTTTGAAAAGTTATTCACGAATTTTTAGAGGGTTTATTGATTTCATCTGCAAAAAAATAAAAGTATGGGACGATACCGATACTGACCAATGGTATGATTATCTGGGCATCTCTGACTATAAAATTGAATTTTAAAAAAATAATTTTGGATTTCTCTAACTTCATTTTGTAAAATTTTACATTATTAAATTGTAAAACATGGTACATTTTTAGGTTTTAGTATAGAACGAAATTTTTTCTCATCAAAATTCTTATTGTTAGACATAAAATCTTAATGAGGGCATTTGATTTTTAAAAAAAATATATTCTTGATAAATCATGTTTATGACCAATTATAAAAAAAATCATATAAAAAACTTGTTTTTGTCTCTGTTCCACACCCATGAATTTAAACTCTGGTTCTTGGATTTCTCAGTGAACCCGAACCTTGTTTTTAAGGAGCCTTCACGACTGTCGCTAAGCGGGGTTTAGACCACAAGTCTGCCTGTCCAGTGTTATTATAATAAACACGATGAAACGATTTAAACTATCGTTAGATCTTAAATATTATTATCTTGTAAGATTTCATTTTATTGAATCATGCCCCACCTTTTTAATTTTTTTATATAATAATTATGAAATTTCTGGAAGTAAAGTTTTTTTAAATGAAAATATACGTAATATATTTCCCAAAGATCTATTTTTTAAAAATTAATTAAAAGCACCCTTTTTTATCCAGACATATAATTGATTTGTCCTTATCGCATATAAATTCTAAAATCATTTTCATTTATTTTTTTTATTAAAGGAGATTTATTATACCTCGAGGCTATTTTATAAAGAAATGTTTATATTTTGGCTTTACATTTTTTTTTTGCTTCCGCATATATTTATATAATTTTTGGGGTGGTTTATTTTCTCAAATTTTCTTTCCACGAGTTTTTGTTTCGGGTTTTCTTTAATAAGCTTGTCTCATTTATGAAACAAGATTAAATATTTTTCAAAATAAATAGGATTTTTGTTTCTTACTGTCGACTCGGGCCGGCGGTCTGGGAGTTAACTTGGCTACCGCAGATACCGTCATAATATTTGACAGTGATTGGAACCCTCAGAACGACTTGCAAGCACAAGCCAGGGCTCATAGGATAGGACAAAAAAATCAGGTAAAATATTATATGTGTTCCCTCCTCATAATAAATTTTAAATATATTTATTTTATAAACAATATAACATTAAAATACAAAAGCACTAATATATAAATATAAATTAAAAATAATTAAGAGCATTTATAGCCAATGGCCAGTCATCTTTGAGTAATTATTATAACGAATAACTTTAAAACGAATTTTTTTTTAAATTGTAAAAGCCTTTGAAACTTTAGATCTTGGGTTCCTCTGACAAATAAGTCAGAAAAATGATCTTGTTTTTTTCCGAAAGTGCAAGAAAAGGTTTCAAAATTTCTATGAAGGGGCATAAAAATATCAACACAAGCGAAATTTCACTACATGTTTCTGCCATATTCATCTGTAATGATAGTATAACATTTAAGTCGTGATCTATTAAAAATTGACGAATCCTTCTTGGGGTTCAAGTTGGGATGGAATATTAATTTCCTTTCCATATAATACACTATAGGTGATTTTACTAATTTTAGTGTTATATTTCATATTTTATCTATTGGAGTGATGTGTAACTTTAAAATCTATCTTACATCTGTGACAGTTGAAAGGTAGAGATATGCCAGAGCTTATGCCATATAGCGAAATTATGTGTAAATTCCTTATTTAGTGAAAAATATTTTAAATATACTTGGATATATTTCTAAACTATTTATGGGTTTTTATAACTAATGAACGAAGAACGAAGGTTTGTAACACTATTAAGTGTCATTGATCGAATAAAGAAAACCAATAGAGCACACAACAGCAGCATCTCAATCCTTTTGTATACTTAAGAATGGCGAAATTATGCCACCAACATAGCACATGTGAACTATAGCTCCCGATCTGAGTTATATACTCTCAATCCAAAGGATTATAGTGAGATCTTAGGATTTCAATTGTATTACATTTTTGATCAACTTAGAATTCCAGAAAAAATACCCCTACCTTTCAATATATCTATCACTCGTGTCATTTATATCGTTGTCTCATTCACTTTTAGAAAAAAATGTTAAGTCATTCTTAAAATATTGATCAGAGAAGCCCCCCCCCTTATAAACTGTTTAAAATAATTAGAGGCTGACTAAATACAAGATAATTAATTATGTAATAAGAATTTTAAACTTAGCCTTTATAATTCAATTAGGTTCAGACTCGAATCGTGAACTGATTTATTTTTTGCTAGCTAAGATGGAATTCTTTTTGAGTTAGAGTGGGTTAGGATAACACCTAATTTAATATTATGCAATGTTGTTAAAGTAGCTATTAAAAGTAGCCCGCTACATTTTAACGTTTATAAAAAGTAACGTTAAAAGTACTGCTATTATATATATTTCTTTCGTTTTTTAAGGTTAACATATACCGATTAGTTACGAAGGATAGCATAGAAGAGGAAATAATCCAAAGAGCTAAAAAGAAAATGGTTTTAGATCACTTGGTCATTCAACGAATGAATACAACGGGCAAATTGGTTATGTCTCAGGGAAATAACCCATCCAGGTTTATATAAAAAAGATTTCCTGTACCTCTTATACGAAATTGAATTTTAAATACATATTTCATCATGAATATATTATTTAAAATATCTGTTTGATGATACCCTTCTTTAGTTTATTGTATATTGATAACTTGATTAGGTAACATGTTTCATTACTTACCAAAAAGATGGTGCTCTAATCGTTGCTTTCATACTGAAATATATATATAGTTTTTTTAAAATAATCCAATGATATTTTAGATATTCATACTTGTTTCAATTGGTTAATTTTTTTTATTAATTAAAAAATTTTTAGCAATCGTATACCCTTTAACAAAGCTGAACTTTCATCAATCCTCAAGTTTGGGGCTGAAGATTTGTTCAAGGACGAAAAAGATGAAGAAGATCCGCAGGTTTTTATTTGAATTTATATTATAACTTTTCAAGTAGGTCCCGGAGAAATCTTATAACATAATTTGCAAAGTATTTCGGATGCCTTGAAGAGAAAAAACCATTTATAAATTGAGGATCAACCCAGAATTTTAAAAGAATTTAGCCACCAAGCTCAACATATTTTTTTTTCTAAAAAATATTTTTTGGGCTTAATCCATGTTTTTTTATTTAGGCACCCAGCTCAGATTTTATAAAAATTTTGATCATTTTATCCTTCAGATTTTTTTAAAATTTTTATTATTAAAATACGAGAGACCTATGAATTTTAAAAGGCTCTACGTGATTTTTCAAATGGCTAATTCATATAATTTAAATTTACTTTAAAAAAAAGTATGTCCTGTTCAGGTTTTTGTATTTTTAGACCCTGCCAATATTTTATAATATTATTTTTCACTCTTAGCTGGATACCTAAGGTCGTCCTGCATGTCTCTGATATTTACTCTATATCATTATAATAATTTTTAATGATTTACATAATATTTCAAAAAAAATAAAATAAAGTTCGTAAAATTTTATTAAACAGTATTGATTATTTATATTGTATCAAACTTCGATAACATACTTTATCAAATCCTCAAAAGTCTATAATAGATATCTTTCAAAAACAAATAAAATGAAGATTCTTACAATTTTATTAAAATATTAAAAAAACTAATTTTATTGTATCATTTTTTATATTTTTTATCAAACTTTTGGTAACATAAAGTGATATCAAATTCTCAAATATCTATCATAGTTATCTTATAAAAAAAATAGCCATATCCTATGAAAATAAATTTAGTTTTTTTTAAAATATATTTATTTATTTTTAAATATATTTAATTTTTCTATTTATTTTTAACTTAGGTTGATATCGATGATATTCTTAAACGAGCCGAAACGGCGGAGGAGGCTCCTACTTCCCTAGCTGAAGAGCTTTTGTCCCAATTTAAAGTTTATTTTTATTTAGATACTGAAAATAAAAATATAATTGTATTTTTAAAAAATGACATTTTAAATTACATCTTTCTTTTATGATAAATTTTTTTTATTTTGTTTAGGTCACCGACTTTACCGGTTTGGAAGAACCGATGGAACAATTAAGCGAAGTTTACGATGAATCCTCAAGGAAAAATAAAAGCTCGAAAAAGAAATCTAGGTCATCAATAGTCAATTCTACGTCCCACATTAAAAGTAATGGTGTATTTTTATTTTTTTACTGATATAACTCAACATTTTTTTTTCGAAAGTCTGATCATATCAAGTTAATTTTTTAAAAAAGAATCCAGCAGATCTAACTCAAATATTATATGTGTTTTTAATTTTTTTTAGCCTTATTGTTTAATGAACTCGTGAATAAATATAAAAATATCTAGTAAGTGGGTAACTTATTTCGTCACTATTATTATTTTTTATTGATCCCCCGTTGGGACCAATATGTGTCTAAATACAACCTCTTGGGCGTTGTTAGGGTTAAAAAGGATAAAGGTATGGTATAGGCTTTATATTTACTAAAGGTGATAGCTCAATAAGCTACCCATATAACCTAAAATTTATTCATAAAATAAAAAAAAGATGAAAAAGATTACGCCTTCGACGATTCTTCCCTCTCCTCTTCCCTTCGATCCCCAATTTCGGGTTATTCATCCGACGAGAATCGAGTCCCTAATCATTCAACAACCGACGGATTAGGTAAGGATTGGACAGATATAATTCCCAAGGACCTCAGGGATAAAGTGGAGGCTGAAGAGAAACATAAGGCGATCATGGAGCTCAACAAATTGGGTCCTAGGATCAGAAAACCGGTACTATTTAAATACTATTTTCTTTTAATCTTAAAAAAAGATATATTTGTTATTTTTGGAAAACCAACAGAAAAGTCGAAATAATTTAAGATTTTAAGAACAATAAAAATAATCTTTAACAAAAATCAAATATTATTTATGGGTAATTAATTCCATGTCAGATCACTCAATAATTCGGCCGACCATTTTGATGAAACTTGTTATAATGGTTATAAATTTATGCAATTGAAATTTTAAGCTCTAGCTCAAATATATCAGGAGTTATGGGCCTTTCTAATGCTGGCGTTTTCTTCATTTAGTAAAATACCAAAGTAATATAAAATGGAGGAAATACGAATTTATGGTTAGGTTTCTAATCGAATAAAATTATCAAACTTAAAAAATAATTCTAATATTTTTTTGTAAAAATTGGCCTTTTATATTATAAATACAAATTTGATATATTATTCCTGTGTCGCACGTAAATTTTAAAATCATTTTAACCCCCCCCCCCTCCTCCCCCCTTTTTTAAAATATTTACAACAATTCCTAAAAAAATATTTTATTTAAAAAGCTTTCTCCCTATCATAGACAATTTCTTATAAACAAAAATAACATCAATACAATCCAATTAAACAGAAATAACATAAAAACTGACCCATTGATATTACATTAATAAAAACTATAAACAATAATCTAATGGAAGTTTTATCAATGAATAGGCAATCATACACCAAAATCACAATATTTTATAGAGCAAATGTATTTAAATTATTATTCAAAATAACCCATATCGCAATTAAATATTATATCCTCATTTCCTTCATTCTAATTTTTATTAAATATATATTGGATTGATGAGTTTTATTGTGCAGAGTTCGCGTTAGCTCAGCTTTACATTATTAATAAGAATTTTAAAAAAATATTATATAATTTGATATTCGTTAAAAGAACATAACCACCACATTGGACATTGAGAACCCTTAACTCCCCACATAAAACACACTACCATGTGATACCTAGTTTCATTCGTTTAAAAAAAAGGGTCGTCTGAAAATCTCGTTTTTTGGTCCATTTGTCATGATTAGCCTATTCTAAAGCGAATACTATTCCTTATTACACAAATCAAATGAAAATAGTAAATTTAATTATTTGTATGAATACGTTTATTAAATTATTTGATTTATTTAAATGAATTAAATTCGAATAATTTATTATTCGATTCGTATTCGTTTTTGAGTTGGCCTAATCATGACCCTTATTCTTCATACCGAGATGATCCACTAGATAAAAGTTATATGGTGACAAAACTAAAACCTAACAACCCTTGTTCATCTAATGCAGAGATTTACTATATATCGTAATTTTCTACAAAATAAGTTGAAAGGGATGGGGATCTTGATTTAGTAAATGAAATATATTTTAATCTTTCATCTTGTATACATCCCAAGAGAAAATCTGTACAATAAAAAATAATAGATTTACGAAAATTTGGAGCTCGACCCTGCTTCAAATTCAAAAAAACTTCTCAAGAAGCAGCAACTTCAACAATCCTCGGAGCTAAAAATGACTCGTTATGGTAGAGTTTCTCAAAAGAGGACTAATAAAAACAAACACTCCGACTCGCAAGAGTCCTATAAAGATGAAGAGGATGATGATGATATATACGTTGGGGATGAGGATGAAGATAACCCCCAAAAGAAGAAAAATAATAGTTCTAAATCGGGGGTTGGCCAAAATAAATTGTTTATTGTTTCTTTCAGTGACGCGGAGATTAGAAAGTTTGACATTTTCATTTCCTGTTTAATTAATTTATACAATATGAGCGGTAGATGATTGTGAAGTTAAAATATAGCGCCATTTTATATAACCTTTTTTCCTTTGAATTTAGTTTTTTTTTGTTAACATCTAGGGATTTTGAATTAAATAATTTTTAGGGATTATTTTGTAAATAACAATTTTCCCTATACTTACTTTGATACCCGTTATCATCCCTATTTTTATATGGAAAATTATGTTATGACTGGCATAGTGAATATATTTTTAATTTACACCCTCGTGAAAACTACAAATTAGCAAAATGTTCTTTATTTTTACTTGGCTATAATAAAATTTATATGTACCTTTGCCTTTATAACTGGATATTCTTTGTGCCAATGAATTAATATTATTTAGACACATTCTGGGAAAGTGATTTCCATAGAAACTCTAAAATATTCTTCAAAAAATCTTTTGTTCCATATAGTTGTTTTAGTTTGAGTAAACCCCATATGTTTTCAATAAGATTGAAATCTGGAGAATGTTAACAGGTGGATATTATGATCCTTGCAAAGTTTTTTTATATTTAATGGTGTCCCAAGGAGTCCTTTCTTGTTTAAGATGTAATTTGCTGCATGCCCTAATAATTGAATTGATGGGATCAGTACTTCCTTGAGGATATCTTGATAATAATTTTACATATTATTAAATATTATAAAATTGCTAATAACAAAACTATCCATCATGATATATTATCAATGTATAATTTCTTTTTTTATAAGATTCGTAAAAAGCTTCCGAAAATTCCCCAATCCTCAAAATCGGTAATATATATTTTTTGTAACAAAAATATATACCATGCCCACCTATTTTATTTTAAAATTTTTATTTAATATGAATGCAAGAACTACTGCTGCCTTACACTTCCTTTTGTGTAAGTAACAGATCCTTTTTACTGTTTCTGAAAACTTACTCAAATTTTTATCTACAATTATTTTAATACTTTTCATAATACTATGTAATAGTGATCTGCATCTGGCCTAATTTTTCAAGCCCGGCCCGAATTTTTTTTAAAAAAGTTCTGCCGGCTCGGCTCGGCCCGAACCCGAATTTTTTTTAAAAAGTTCTGCCGGCCCGAACCCTAAATTTTTTAAAAAAAATTTACCGACCCTACCCGGCCCAAATTTATTTAAATATAGAAATTAATTTTTTTAATTACTCAAAATAAAAGACATATGTTATATGTCGTGATAAATAAAATCAAATATTTTTATTTTATATAAAAAATTCAATATAAAATTGATAAATTTAGATATATTTAAAAAAAATTCTAAGGCCCGACCCGGCCCGAATTTCTTTTAAAAATATTAGGCCCGACCCGAACCCAATTATTTTAAATAGAATTAGGCCCGAGCCCGGCCCTAAGCCTGTTCAGGCCGGACTAAGGCCGGGCCTAACTTTGCAGATCTCTACTATATAATATGATAATTAAATTACGCGTTATAGCTTAGAGGAGATAGTCTACGATGCCGAGTTACAGGGTAAACCATTTTCCGACATAAAGACGATCTGTAAACTCTTATTGAATAACTATAGGGAAGCATTGGCGAAAGATCTGACCATCACCAATCAAGATTTAATTGGAACTGAAGGTTTAAAATAATATACATTTACAAGGATGAATTTTTTCAAGTGTTGTCAAGGCGCCTATTCCAATATTTTTTTTACAATTCTATCTTTATTTTTGTTGTAATTGTCAAATTCTGATTTATTGGGAAGGGGGGGGGGGATTTTTATCCTATTTCTAAAATTTTTTACATTTACCACTTTTGTTACACATAATTTATCTTTTATATTAAAATGATAAGGAACGTTTAAATTAAACCAAGTTTCTTTCCCCATTCAACAGTTTAAAAAATCGATGGAGGATTTGGAATGTCTGTACGCATTATTGCCTAAGGATAAAAACGATAGGAAAAAGTTAAAAAAAATATATATTTAATAGTTTTATCTTTAAAAAAAATTAAATAGCGAAAAATTCGTAATTTGGAAAATAGACTTTTCAAACTCATATTTTCATTACAAAAATTTTTTCATATCAACACCTATACAAGATTTAAATTAACTATTCCGCTCAAATCACCATTATGGGGTGTACCGTGGACGAACGAAGAAGACAGCAAAATACTCGCGGGAGTTTACGAGCATGGCATAGGTAACTGGGAAATCATAAAGAACGACCCTGCATTGGGGCTACAAAATAAGGTTTATACGAGAGTTTATTATTATTATTCACTCACACAATCACCTTTTAAATTCGGCTTAATATTATTACATATGAGTGAACATATTTTTCAAAAATAGATACAAACTTATAGATTTGTAAAAAACTGTTAACGTTAAATATCAATCATAATTATTGTTATCTGAATGAATTTTACGATTTAAAATATATAGCATAAATATGAATAGAATCGAAATAAGTGACGAGTTATAGATAGTGGTATTTATTTTTTATAAAATGTTTAAACCGATTTAAATATTGGCGTCAAAATAAGGTGGGGGCTAAATTCAAAAAACAGCATTATAATAACCCTAAATTTTCAGAATCTGTGACATCTTTTTTGAAGGGAACAAAAGTTTGACTTGAAAAAAATAATTGAATTACATATTACATAATATATTTTAATTTATAGATATTACCCAATAATAACGGCAATCCGAAGGCTAAAAATTTAATCACCAGGTTGGATTATTTATTAAAAACGGCGAAAACAACCATACCCGCTTTATCAGGCGATTCATTAGTAAAAACATTATTTGTCATGGCTTAATTTTTTTAAATTGATTTTCAAAAATAAGATTATTATAGGGTTTTAACCTTTTGACCTGAATTGAATCAGGGGGCGAAATAGCATTTTTAATATCAGGGTTGAGGATTCGAATCTTTTAAACTCTCAGATTTTACTGAACTTTCGCTGAACCCATTTTTTTAGAACGAGGGGTCACACTCACAGCCCTGCTTAGCATAATGTCAAAATTTAGAGAATCTGAATATCATAAAAGAAAGTTTTGGCAGGTTTGATCAAATAAAATTTATCACAAGTTATTTAGACTGCTAAATATGCCTATTTAATTTGCTTTATAAAGGCTCATTTAAAGGTAAACTCCAAACGACAAAAAAGCCTGAAGTCTTATCTCGTCAACCAAATAGCGGAAGGTACTATAAAGGATACAAAGAAAGATAAAAAGGTATATATTATTTTTCTATTTAATATTATAATATTAACTTTTGATGATGAATATTCGCTTAGCGATAATATTTTTTTTTAAAAACTAGGGAAACTTATTTGTCCCCAAAACCGGGGAACCCAAAGTGGTATACACCTTGTATGATTATCTGACCCTTCCTATGTTCCGTTTACTTACTCATGGTGTACTATAATAGTCAACTTTTAATATTTATTGCAAATTTTGATTATTTTTTTTTCAAAGGATTCAAAATCTAGCAAAAATCGCTCAAAGAACTTGACAAACGAAGAAATTGCTCAATCTGAAATCGATAAGGATTTGCCAAACGAAATATTTTTGATTGTAAATTTTTTTATATAAATCCATATTTTACGAATAAATATATTAAATTTTATAATTGGTTTTTAATTCGATTATATTTTTTGCTCACCAAATTATTGTGTCAACATATTTGAGGAAATTACGGTTTAAAAACCTTTAATGGCCTTTCGGAAATACTATAATTATTCACGAGAAATGGCAAAAATATTTACTATTTTAAGTACTAAGTTTGGAGGAATCATAAAATTATATCATGAATTTTGTCAATTTTTCCTTGATAATAAAAAATATTTGGAAAAATTGAGAGAAATTAAAATTGATTTTAAATTTTACGGCAAGATTGCATGAAATTTATAGGGATAGTAGAAATCTGAAATAAATGAATTGATTAAAAATTATTTTTTATGGGCAGCTAGGCGAATTAAATTTACTAGGCCTTTAATTTATAACAAATATAAATTTTGTTTTGATTTCATAATATTGCAATTTTTATAAATCAACCAATTAAATAATTTTTAAAAAAAATGGGTGGGCAGACTAAAATCAATTTTTAAAAATTAAGCGGGTAAATTAAAAACTCGCCTATTACAAATCTCTAGGTAGGTACACAATTTTCCGTAAAAATTTAGTTTTTTAAAAGAAAAAAAATATATACGCTTATATAAATGGTTTAAATTTTAGATTCCTTTATGTCTTACAACATACATAAGTATTTTAGTTTGTCCACTTTAATTATATTATAGCAAACAGTTGAGTGGGTGACTAGGTGTGTTCGTATGATCACCCCTAGAACTAGATATGTCAATGATCTCAAAGATGATAGCCAATTTATTCTTCGATTCTTTTTAAAACTGTTATTTATAAACCTTTAAAAAATTGGTAACTCAATATTATTTTAAAAAATTTAGTGTAAAGAAAAAATGAGACCAGTGAAAAAGGCACTTAAACAATTAGATAACAACCAAGCCTTGCAGTCAAAAACCTCCCAAATACATCACATCAAAGCCTGCTTACTCGTTATAGGGAATCACATACAACTATGTGAAAAAGAATACGCAGATCAGCCTAAAAAAATGAAAGAATGGAGAAAGTTATTTATATTTTTTATTTGTTAATATTATGAAAGTTATTTTTTTTGTTTGCTCAAATTTATTGAATTTTTGACGTTTGATTAAGGCTCAATGTAAATTTGATTTCTCAAACTAGTAGTGTTGCTAAACGGTTCGATTTGAATCGATTTTTAAAAACAGGTAACACAATATTTGTAAGATTTTGCTAATAGATGGCACAAAGGTTTGGACATCTATTAATAAAATCTCAAGGCTTAGGTAATATTTTTTGGCTAAAATATTAAGTTAGCTGTTTCTAATAAAATCGAGCTGTTTAACAACATTAAGTTCATAGATCCTTTAAATTAAAAAAAAAATCCCAAAATTTTTTTTAAAATAATAGTTATCTCTGGGTATTCGTTTCAAAATTTACCGAATATAACGGCCGAGATCTGCATAAATTCTACAAAAGCGCTCAGAAAAAACGTTCAGAACAATCAAAGACTAAATCGGACAAGGAGAAAGATGAAGTAAATAATATATATTTTTAGAAATTGTAGGAAATATCTTTTTTTTTAAAAAAAAAATAAATATTATGACAAAATAAATTTTAAGTAACTTATATAGATAAAATTAAATTCTTTTATATATATATTATAAAAAAAATCTTGTAGCCTAATTCTATAATCGGCTCCACCAATACAACGCCCACAAATATACCTCCGAAATCCGATCCCATTCAAATAAATGATAATAACAATACCTCCTCTTTGCGTTGCACTTCTTCAACCACTCCAACTTCTTCATCCATTAGTTCTAATATTAACACGAATCAAAGCAACGCAAATTCGATAACTATCTCATCATCACAGTTTATAATTAAAAAAACAATATATAAATTTTTTTAAATATATATACTCGAGGCAAGGATAACCACCTTGTGAACATTTTTCAAGTATTATGATTTTGAAAAATAGTTGTATTTCTAACATATATATGAAGCAGTGGCATAGTTACGGGGGGGAGGGGGAGTTCGGGTTTGGACCTCCCCCCGTTCCATAGCAATTTTTTTAGATTATACGTTCAAAAGACTCAAAAGTGATTTTATATGAAATACCATGAATATTTATATTTTTCTGGTTTTGATGTTTGTGGAAGGATATTATATTACTATTGAAATTATTCTGGATATCTACTAAATTATAATAACATGTTATTGATATATTTGAGAAATATATTTATTATATATTATCTAAGATATGGTTCCCCCAGAGCAACATTCAAAAAATACTTTTATTCAAATAAATACCCCAACAAGATAATATTTTAAATAAAAAATTTGTTAAATATGATTATAAACTTTTAAAATCTAGGACTTCTATTTTATAAGAAAAACATATATGATTTTTAAGATAAAGCCAGACAAAAGGGCCAAAGGCCCGTTAAATGCAGGCTTTTATATGAATGGACCCCCTCTAAGGAAAATTCCTAGCTACACATTTATTTGGTTGTTAGAAATATTCGAAAGAATATGAACTGGTTAAAATAAAATATTTTTAATAATTTGGGAATAAGCAAAGAAATTATATTTTATTATCACCCGAGTTCGAGCACACATTTTTAGATCCGACCCGAGCCCGCCTAAATTTTTTTTTTAATTTGAGTTCAAATATTATAATATCTAAGAAACAATTAAAAAATTTGTATATCTATTCACATATTGCCACATTAAATAAAAGTATATCTAACTCCCACAATCTAATCAATGTTCATATAAAGTTGCATTTTATTTAATTTGTGTACATATAAATTTTATTCAGTTTAAAGTTAAAATATATCGAATTTAAAAATTACAGTGATTGTATGAAAATAAATTTGCATGATTGATGTCGAAAAAATATAACAATGAACATTTTAAAAAGACATCAATATCAATTATTCTTATTGACATTTTTATAAAACATAAGATATTTATATTTTAAATATTTTATTATCGGGTCGGACACATCTTACAGCCTGTCCGAGCCCGAGGGTCGGGCTTTGGACCCTCAAATATACCCTTTTTCCTATTTGGCCAAATTTGGAAAATAATATAAAATATTTGAGATAAGATAAAAATAAGTAGCACGATTTCGTTACATTAATGCAACACTCGTCCTTTGGGTTAATTAAAATTTTAATTTTTTTTATATACAATAGAAAATACATTCTAAACATTAATATGATGTTTCACATTTGTTTTTCCCTCTCTCTTATGCCAAATATTTAAAACACAAAAATTTAGCGAAAAAACTCACACCACATCCAAAAATTCGAACTTTCCTTCTGATTCGTTTCATTCGAAGTAAATTATTAATTTTAAATTTTCTCATTTTTTTCTGGCCATTATAGTTGTAAAAAATATTGGTAGCAATGCCTTGAAAACTAGCATATAGAACGAATTTTAAACAGGGCTGGAACCAGAACCCTCGATATTTTACTAAACCCGAACCTTTTTTAAAATTCAGGGTTCAATAAAATTTTAATATAATATAAAAAAAACATGTTAATTATTTAAAATACATTTTTTTATAATTCGCTTATATTGTAATTATAATGATGAATTATTTTTATGGTATAAGGGCTAAATATAGTAAAATAAAGTATATAAAAAACTGATATTTCTGTTTTTTACTAAATTTTATAAGTCTTTATTTTCTGGGTCACGAATCCTGAATCCAAGTCTGGTTCAGTGACCAAATCTGGACTTAGAAGGAGAGTTCACAGCCCTGATTTTGAATAAAGTTATATTATTGTTTTTTAGATTTTGGCCATATTGATTTTTAGATCAGCGAACAACCATTAATCTTTTCTTTTTTGTAGAACTTAAATTTATATATTTATTTTCAATTTAAAAAAAACAATCATAGACTAGGGTTGTTAAATAGCCCTTTAAAAACGACCCGATTGAGATTTTAGCCCTTCACGCAAGCCTGGAGATTTTGCTCATAGATTGAAAGGGTTCATTCTCTATTTGCCAAATCACGAGGCCTTCACATAAAGCTAAAATATTTATCGGTCTTTTTTAGAAATCAACCCAAATCGGGCTCTTTAACAACCCTATATTAGACTATTATAATTTTACTACTTCTTTTAGAAGGAATTATACTAACTCATACAATCAAAGACCCTCATCATCCACACATAACGCCAAAACAGATTCTCTATCGAATAAAGATGAGAAAAGGAAAAAAAAGCAGTAAAAATCACTCATTTAAATTATAATTAAAAAAAAACTTATGGAATTATCACTGTATTTATAGGAAAATTATTAAATTTGACTTCATCCCTTAAAAAAAATTATAAGAAATTTATAAAAAAAAATTTTTTTTGTGAATTATGTACGACACAAATATTTGTAATGATGTTTATAATTTGTAAATTATCATTTTTGCTTGTATAAATATCAAAATGTATACACCTTATATAATTAATTATAATATTTATTGAATTAAGTGCCATAATTAATAAATGAAATTTGAAAAGTATTCTTATTTTGAATCATATTGTATTTATTTATTTTTTGAAAAGACGGATAAATAAATCATTAACTCAATTATCATTGCTTTTATATGCTTCAAAAAAATATTAAAAAATCAACTTTTGAAATATATGCAAGCTTTGCTTTTTTTAATCGAATGAATGATGTAGTACAATGCCTTATTTCGCTTGTAAGTTATTTAATTTGCTTTCATGCTTTAATTCATTTTAGAATAATGTAAATTTTGGGCTGGCGGGCTTTAAGTATGTTATTCGCTTATAAATAAGTCGTTGCTTGATTATTTTAAGGTTCTAACTACATGTTATGATAAAAATTGTACCCTTAAGGGGATCCCATATGTTTTTTATGTAATAAAATATAGTTCTTATGATGCTCTACATAGATGCATGGTCTTTATGTGAAAGTTAGAACCCTATAATAATGTATTTTAATAACAATAAAATACGTTTGTACATGTGATTCTCAATGAAAAATGTCTTTATTTTAAAATATTAATTAATATCTTTTTAATTTGTTAAAACATTTAAATATGACTTATAAGCCTAGGTAGGGTAATGCCGAATTTGGCTTAATTCGCATGCCAAAGAAAATTCTACAAGCATTGAGGCGCGAATTAATTTATTTCAGCTTTCTTCAAAAGTTGAGTTACATTTTCAAAAAAGTAAAATACCCGCCCCTGCTAGAAATGGAGCAATTACCCTACTATACCTCACACTTTTCTTCTAAAATATTTTTTTTGGCTTTATTTTTAAATAAAATTTTTGCGTGGGGTATTATTTCCCCTTTTGAGTTCAACTCGATGCACATGTATATCAAAGTTAAATAAATACAAATTTTTTTTTAAAACTAAAACAAAAAGAAGTAAAAGATACTCCGAACCCTCAGAAGATCAATCTAGCACGATGATCGGGTCTTTAAAAAAGGAAGATTCAATAATTCTAGCTATTGAGGATGACAAAGAAAAGGAGAAAGTAATGGAGGAGAAAGAGGAAGGGGAAATTGACGCGCAAGCTGGAGATTCGCCCATACAATATAAAACCACTAATAGACGCCATCATTCGGCAACTTCTGAACGTCGTGATAGGAAATATGCTAGAAACAGGGATGAAAAGTCCTGTCACAGTGTAAAGATAAATTGATATAACTAACTTTTTTTATTTCCTAAAATTGGTTAATAAACATTTAAAATATTAAAACCAGATGTGGACCATTATATATAGTGATGCAATTCTTTTTTATAGTGTTTTCAAATAAATGAATACAAGTTGAATGCATGATTTAATCGTATTAAAAAAAGAAATAATATAGATTGAAAAGTAAAGTCTAAATTAGAAGTCTGCAATAGGTGGGTTTACCCCAACCGCCCATTCTACGAAAAGATGGGCGGGCTTTCTTAAAGATTTTAAACATAAGGGTGGGAATAAAAATCTTTATATAACAATAGGCTGATGAATTTTAAGCATTTTTTGGGTGAAATTAACAGAGCAGACTTTTATTTATTAAAAGTTATTTTTTTTAATATCATAATGAATATTTTATTAGTAAAAAATAAAGAACCAAACTAAATCATGAAAATTATTTTTCAACATTGGGCAGGCGGGCAGGTTAAACAAATTTTTTAGATAAATGGACAATGAGTGGGTTTATAAATTTTTTAAACAATGAGTGAAAACATTGCAGATCTCTAGTCTCGATTTAATTAACAAACGCCTCAAATTACCATTAAGATATTTGAAACAAAACGGGATTTAACTGGTTCAATAAAATTATTTTGCATCTTTTAATAAATTTAGTTATAAATTTTTGCGGTTCTGAAAAATAATTCGTTTCGGTTTTATGGTTTACTTTATCCTGGGTCCTTGGTTAGAACAATTGTAAGTGATACTGGGAACTTGAAATCAACAGGGAAAAATATATTATCTAAAACGGGTTATTATTCAAGGTGAAAAGATTACTGAAATAATGTAAAGGTAACTTGACCCCTAGTTAATGGGCTATTAGCCTAATGCATCCTTAATATAAATTTGAAATTTTTTTATTGCTCGTTAAGGCACATCACGATTACAACCGTCGCGGCTTTGGCTCCCATTATTACAAAAATGAGAACGACGATGATAAAAACCATCGCCTTGATTACGACGATGAAACTCATAATGTCGACTCACCCCTTTCACCATCTTTAAGAATCGACAATACCTATACTCCTCTGTCTATTTCGTCAAGTCACCATAATCGGAGAATACCTCCTTTACACCACCACTTTTATCCGCCACATATACCTCCCCCTGGCTTGATGCTACCACCTCACCCTTCCTTGATTCCATCTCCCCATATTCCCATAGCACCTCGTCTTTACGGTCATAGTATTCCTCAGAGACCTTATTATGAGTGCGTGAATATTTTTCATTTATTAGGAAATTAGACAATTATGTCATTATTAAATTTGATAGATAATCGTAAAACCATGAAAATTGTTTTTAACTATTATCAGAGATTTGCAAAGCCCTGCCCGTTATTTACATGTTTGTCCAGCCCGTCCAGTGGCCAATTTTATAAAAATAAATTTTTGGCCGCCCATTTAAATTTTGCAAAAAATATTTTGGGCGAGATTTCCAGCTGCCTTTTTTTTATAAATGTCTAAATCTAATTTTCCTAAGTGACAAAGATTCTTTATCTCCACTCTATGATTATCTATTTCTGTAACAAATTATAGATTTGTGTTATAATATCTATATTTGTATTTGGAATATATCATAAATAACATATTTAATTTCTTGTGAATATACTATATAATTTATAGATTTCCTATTTTAATTAGACAGCTCCTAAAATATATAGAAATAAGCATTCTATAATTTACTTTCAAATAGTATTAATAAAAATATTTGCTTGAAATTCTATCAAAATTTCAATGCCTTGGTTTGCCCATTTTAATTTTACGAGAAATCAAATATTTTGGAGGCCTGGTCCCATTTTTATATATAAATTGTCCTGCCCTATCTTCGGGCCTGGTTTTACAGATCTCTAATCCATATTGTGTTAAATAAGTTTTTAAAGCGTATTAAGCTATATATTTACCATTATTGTCTTATGTGTATATTTATGTAAATGCCCATTTTAATTTTACGAGAAATCAAATATTTTGGAGGCCTGGTCCCATTTTTATATATAAATTGTCCTGCCCTATCTTCGGGCCTGGTTTTACAGATCTCTAATCCATATTGTGTTAAATAAGTTTTTAAAGCGTATTAAGCTATATATTTACCATTATTGTCTTATGTGTATATTTATGTAATTTGAAACTTTTTAAATGATATAATTTGCGAAACTTTCATATTAATAAAAATTTTAATTTTATATTTTTGAAACTTTTATTAAAAAAACTTTAAAGTCGTTGGTCATCGAAAAAAGGATCGAAATCTGGAAGAGGTCCTTTATTCTTGTCAAATCAATATAGCACAAGACCCGCGTATCCTATACCAACATCTTCACTCAACTTACCGCCCAACACTTCAAAAAATTGATTTTCTTCTAGAAAACAACTCTAATCACCAAAATATTCATTTCTAAAATGTAGTAATTATTACGAGTTTTAAAGTGAGCTTGAGTTTTGTCAAAAATCTAAATATTGCATTTTATTTTGGATTTAGTTTAAAAAAAATTCAAGCCAATAAATTATGTAATATCAAGTTTTATATTAAATCGTGGAAAATCGAAACTTATTACTTAATAAATATAGCCAAATATTTTGTATACGCGGAAATTATATATTCTTGTTTTTTTTATATTTAATCAAAGAAATTTATCATGCGAATATATTCGTTCAAATAAAAATATGACTTTTTTTTATTTATAATAAAAAATATATAAAAATCACAATTCTTTGAAATTAATTTTTTTAAAAAATTTTTTTTTGCACATGTCATATTTATGAGCTGAAAGGAAGATAAAGCGATGTAATTTAGGATCAATTATTTTAAAAATGAAATATTATAAATTTGGCAATAATTTAAATTTGAATTTTATATGATTATGTAAATATTCTTATCTTTAAGTTATTATGAATTGCTATTGCATATTGTTTTTTAAATAACTCCATTATCTTCTGAATCCAGTGTAGGCGGCTACCAAAATTTTAGGAATTGTTTTGCGCTGTTCAGAATTAAATCTACCATACCTTTTTAATCACATCCTTTAGAGTTAGGGGGTACTCTTAGTTCTTCTGAGAGTAGAGACATCTGTTTTAGTAAATTTTGACCCACTTTTCGCCTTCTTTACCTTAGTAATACTCATGTATTTTCTCTCTTATTTTAATAAGCAAGCTAAACAAGGAGGAAAGTGCATCAAAATGGCATAGAGGTATATCTCATGACAATTATCACTCCTCACAAGTAATTTTATATATAAGTTACGTCACCCAACCAAGGTAAACAAGGAGGAAAGTGCATCAAAATTAAATATCGTATACAGATATTAATATTTAAAAATAATTATACACTCAGACCTTTCTATTCCCTTAAAAAATTATTGGAAATATTTTTTTTATCTTGTTTATACTTGATTTAGTCATTGTTTTGTTTCAGATATAAAATGCTACTAAACTTTTGTCACCTCTGGGATAATCGTGATTTATTTTAATTAAAAATTTTAAACAACTTTAATGCGTTCTATGAAATATATCAGTAAAATAACTAAACTTATATCACCTTTCGGATAGTAGTAATTTACTTTAATTCTTTAAATTATATTAAAACAAATTTTGCCATCTATAAAATCAAATATTAGTAAAATGACACTAAACTTGTATCATCTTTGGGATAGTCGAAGTTTATTGTAAATAAAATGAATAAGATATAGACAACCTTAATGTCATCTATGAAGTGAAAGTATATCTATTTTTTTAAATAAAAAACCTAAAACAAGGTTGGTAAAAAAATTGATTATTTGAGATTTAGATTTTATGATATGATATACCCTGGAAGAAAATAATCGAGTCAAAATTATCAATCGAAAATACATTCATCTTATTAATAAACATCTGTTTTTCGGAAACCATTGTTAAATTAGTAATAATGAATTGATTATAATTTTAATATATTTTGAGTTTCAAAAACGAAACCAATATTCGTCGAATAATTAACCGTTTCGAATACGAATAATGCTCTAATCGATCTCTATTTGTTTTTGAATATGCCTACTTTCGAAAAAATATTATTTTAATTAATATGATTTATAATAAACTATTTATAACGGCATCAATTAATCTCAGTGTCGTCAAAATATTGAATCCACTATCTATTGAACATGGCAGATATTTAAATAATATTTTTTTTAACAGGGTTTATCATATTTTACCAAAAAAAAATAAAATAATTTTAAGCATAAACTTAAAGGAAAAATGTATATTAATAGTAAAAGGAAAATTGATCTGAATTATAATTTTTTATAGAAGTTATCTATTTTAATCGTGATTTAAATCTTTTAAACCAGACCCTAATATAGTATGTTCGTAGCGATTTATAAAATTCATGATTCTGATTCATTAACCCTTTTTTCGGCAAGTTATAAATCAATTTTAAGCACTTATTAAAATTTATTTTTAAAGACCTGATATTGACTTACATTTTGAATTTCGGAATACAAACAATACATTGGTTCATTGTAAGCCTCTTTCAAGAGATATCCTCTTTCAGTTTTCACATTATTTATTTAAAATTGGGCTGATATCAATACATCTTGAGGCAGGGATGTCACTAGCCTTTACAATCTCAGGGGAAAAAAATTTCAAAATTATATTTTTATTAAGCTAACATTATCCAATACCTTTTTTTAGCTAACATTATCAAAATTATATTTGGTATAATAAAAAAAATTTAAAATTTGGCTCTTCAAATATTTTAGGAGGCGCGAAACACTTCCACCCCCGGAATTCTTGAGGATTTGAAATCTCTCGATGTCAAATTCTTTATCGAGAGCGATTTAAAAAAATTTAGAATCCAATTTAACCGAAAATATATTTACCTTAATTTCAGCCAATTTCCTCTATAGATATTTTAGTATTTTTTTTACTTTATAAAAAAAATCCATATAAAAATTAATATAAATTAGGAGTATTTCTAAAGTTTATGGCAAGGAACTCTATTGAAATACAAGTCCTATTAAAACAGATTTTTAAAATCGCCTTTAATGATTCAAAATCGAAAGATTCCGAATCCCCATAGATTCCATATCCCAATATATATATTTACAATAAAATTATAATGGTAAAATGAAATTTTAAGTTAATAAAATATAAAGGTTATCTATCTCACAGGCATTTGAAATATTAAATATAAGTATATTGAATGTATGAATAGTCAAATTAAATCATTATAAATGTTCGTCGACTACTGATCTAAAAAAATTAATAAATATAACTAAAAAATATTTTTATAATATTATAAAATAAATAATATAAAATTAATAAAAGGCTAACAAAAATACTATCATAAAAGATGGATTTTAATTGTAATATTTGGACATAAAACTTTTAAACCAATGTTCTGGCGAATATATAAATATTCTTTATGATCGTTAGTGAGTTGGGTAATTTATTATCCTATCTTTTCCAGGGAGTTAAATGCCTCGTTGTCGAAGCTTCCGAGGGTTGATGTAACAACAGGAACGAATTTAATATTGCTCAACTCTGAGTTTTTTTTCCGCCCCCGAAAGGGAATTTTCGTGGATGTTAGATGTCTAAACAAATGTATTCCCAATCAAAATGGATATCCCTTTCCCATGGAATTAAGGTTAAACCATCTTGTCTCATACCATTGGAAGTATTGAGACCTAAGGGCTAGAGAATGCATGATATGTTGGCTCAATTGCGCTATGCCTAGGATGGCGGCCTTTAAATTAGCATTGTAATGCATGATTCCATTTTCTTCAACTCTGATCTCGCAAAGGAAACAGGTGAAAGGATAAAGGATATTGCAAGGCAACCAGTACGAAGACCAATTTATATTCTTGATTGTTAGGAAGTCTGACATAAGTTTTATTCTAAAATTTTTGTTTTGACTTTAAAAATATTTGACACCTATATTTTTTTTAAATCATATTTTTAAGCGTGACACCATTTAAAAATAGAAGAACCAAGCCGACATAAAATTTTTTCAACCTAATAACTATATATATTAAAATAAAATTAATTGGTTTGTAAAATTAATTTCTATTTAGAACGAGAAGTTTTAAGAAAAATTTTTTATTGCTTTATATTGACTATTTATTTTTTAAGTAATGCTAGGATTAAAAAAGTTAATTCCTCCAAACATTTGTTAATAAGTATGGGATTAATTCAATTTTTTTAAATACTTGGCAAAATAAATTTTATTCTAATAAATCACAAAATAAATATATGTACCGCTAATGCTTTCAATAAATATTTTTTTATAAAAGTGAAAAAAGAGGCTTCATTTTGGAGAAACCTCTTTACAACCTAATTAAAACTATATTTATAAATAAAAAATAATTGGTTGTAGAATAAATTTCTACACGGAACGAGAAACTTTAAGGAAAAATTTTATCTCTTTATATTGGTCATTTATTATTTAAGTAATGGTAGGACTAAAGTTTAAAAATGCCTGAATATTAAAAAAAGTTATATTTCTGGCTGGGATTAATCCGATTTTTTTTATAAAACTACGTAAAATAAATGTTCTAATAAATTACGTTTAATTTTAATATATTCATATAAATTATTTATATTTTCTTTAGTCCCATTCCAGGATTTTATTTTCTATATCTCTAAATTTAGCGAGTTATGCATTTTACCCATATAAAATGCGATTATGGCAAATAAAATTACCCATTAAAATTTATTAGCCATGGTGGCAATACAGTGACCCGCAGAGTTCGGAAGGACCATGAAGGTTTTTAGAAGATTCAGGGGTTATCTAAATAATGCCGATTTAATTTAGAAATGTTGAATTCAGAGTCAATTTCTTTAAATATCTCTTCTCTATATATTATAGTTCAATGGTAGGAATATTATTTTAATTATCGTATTTTTAAAAAATAAAATGATTCAAATAAAAATGTATCTTATTTTATTTTGGGATTTAAAAGAATATTTATAATCAAAAGCAACAAGTCGTAAGTTAAAAGCTTTAATTTCTATAAAACACCAGAGTTGGGAAGTACCGCGAATACTTGTATCTAATATACAAGATCCTTTTGCATCTTGTACTCAGTGTCTTTTTCATATTTCTATTAAGATCTTTTATTCTGAAAAGAGTCTTGAATCTTTTTCATTTTTATTTTCTTGACAAAAGATACAGATACAGATTCTTTTTAATGTTCATGTTTAAAATTTTACATATCATAGTTTATATTTTATTTACTTCGAGAATTTTGTAATTGACAGCGAAAATTACCTGGAAAATTTACCACTCATATTAGGGTAGAAAGATAAAAAAATAACAAAAACGAAATAAGTGTATATTATATGTTATATATTAATGTAACATATAATATATCATTACCAATTTTATGTAATATTTTTAATTTGTAGGATGATTAACACTCATTGGAGGGAAATTTAATTTATAGAAATAAGTTCCCCTGAATCATATTCCAATCTTAAAATTTATGAAAATTTTTTTTAAATAAAAGTTAAAAAAGACAATTTACAGGCTAGATGTAAAACCTGTCTAAACAAAAAAATGATAAAGGGTTAAACATAATTTTGTTAAACATTATAAGTATATTATTTATGTGTAGTTAAAAGGGACATAGGTTATCTTAAAAATTCAAGTTTACAATATTGTCTACCTTTATTAAAAGCTGCCCAAGATGGTATAGGCAAAAGATTTTAAGAAAATATTTTACTATGATTTGATAATGTGGCTTTTTTGACATCAATATCACATCCATATTTTAAGAACTTATGGATTGAGTTGGATAATAAAATAAATAATAATAAAAGAAGCCCTAAATGTAGAACCAGACTATATAATCAAGTTGAAACTATAAAACCAATAGATTAACATCTAATATAGAAAATGATGAATATTTTTCTTTTGGTGAAACAAATGGTGCTGATGCTGAGTTCAATAATGCAAAAAACATTGAGCTGGAGGTTTTAAATTATATTAAGTCGAAATATATTATAAATGCTTAATTATCCATCCATTAAGGAAATTTTTTATACATATAATACTGCAATACCTTTATCAGCTCCAATTAAGGTTATTTAGTTTTGATACAATGTCAAGTACCCCGAAATGGCAAAGGTCTAAGGATAAATTATTTCAAAGATTTGATTCTTATAATGAATGTATTTTAAATATTCTACAAATTAATATTTCAACTACCATTAAAAATACGAGTCTCCCTTCTCATTCTATTCTAAGGTGCCTGATTATTAAAATTAACTTATTATTAAATGTTTTATTAATTATTGTAAATATTCATTCTTATTATATGTGTATGGTTCTTCACAAATAAATAGTAAAAACTGTATTTTATAAGCTATTCTAAATTGGTAATGATAATTTAAAAGTATATTGTATTTAAGATACTCTAATTAAGTAAAAGATACAAGTATCTTTTATCTTGTATCTTTTTGATATTTTGTAAAAGATACTTTTATCTATATCTAAGATTCATTTTTTCATAGAGAATCTGTATCTGTATCTAGATTCCTTTTCAAGAGGACCTGCCCAACTCAGGAAAACACCAAGCATTTTATTTTATATTATTTTTTCTTCCTAATAAATAAAAAATGAGGCAGATCTCAGGGGACCCCAATGAAGGATTTTACGGTCCAATTTTTTAAGCATTCACTCTTCTCTAGGGTGATTTGTTCCCTTTTTTAAAAAAAATTTTATTATTTTTTTTTATCTCATTTCTCTTTTACACATATATATTTTTTAATTCATTTTTAATATATTATTAGTTTTTATATATATTTTTTTAATTATAATTCGTAAATGAAAAATTTGTGAAATTTGTTATTTAAATAAAGTATCTAATCCATAAAAAAAATAAAAAATAAAAAAAAAATATATTAACGAAAACAAAAATTATTAATATTATTCTTTTAAATAATAATAATTGCATATAGTGCTAATATCTTATAATATCATAAGATATAAAATAAATTCTTTTAAAACTACAGGACGACCGGTTCATTTTCTTGTCTATCCAGTTTACAAGATATTGATAGTCATAAAGAAATCTCTGGGCTGTCAAAAAATATAACATAAACCTCGTTAATGAATAAAATAGATCGCTGGTAAAAAATTCAAATATGACAAAGTCCTATTTAACGGGTAAAACGCTTTGGCATAATTAATCACAGTGGCGTAGATAGGAATTTTCCTTAGAGGGGTCCATACATATAAAAGCCTGGGGAGCTTCGCCCCCAGACCCCCCTTTAACGGGTCTTCGGCCCTTTTGCCCGGCCTTTGGCCGGGTTTATCTTAAAAACATGTGTTGTTAAACGGCTCGATTTGAGCCGATTTTTATAAACAGCAAACTCAATATTTTAACCAAAAAAATATTGCTCAAGCCTAGAGATTTCACGAATAATGTATAAACAAGTATTTTTTGAACATATGATCTAAAAAATTTTTTGCTCTGGGGGAACCATATCTTCGATAGTATATAATAAATATTTTTTTTAAATGCATCAATAATATGTAATTATAATTTAGTTGATTATTCTCATGACTTTTTAATAATACTATCCAGAATAATTTCAATAGTAATATAATATCCTTCCACAAATATCAAAACCAGAAAAAAATATAAATATTCATGGTATTTATTTTAAATTTAATCACTTTTGAGTCTTTTGAACGTACAATCTATATAAAAAAATTTGCTCCTCTCCGTAACTACGCCACTGATTAATAATATTTACAAAACTATTCTAAAATTACATTACCTATATTAATTGCAAAAATTATTAAATTCATATATTTATCTGGAGTCAGGGGCTTCTACTTCTACCATCACTCCCTATTGTTTCTCAGTGACTCTGTTAAAAAAATTTGTCGAATATAATGTTGTTAAACGGCCCGATTTGCGTCAATTTTTTAAAACGACCCGATTAAGATTTTAATCAAAATAATATTATCTAATCCTGGGGACTTTTCTCATAAATGGCAGAAAGGTTTAGACCTTTATTTGTCAGGCTTACATATATTATTTTGGCTAAAATCTTAATCGGTCCATTTAACAACACTAGTCCGATACATAAACTGTCATCTGTACGGTTGTGTTGGATGTTTTGGCTATGTAGGCTGATACGAGATTATAATAAAAATACATAGATCTATTATTTTATCTCCCCCTAAGGGATTTTGAGTTCAAGATTATTTTTATAACCGTATATAATTCTAGTATAGTACGCATTTATAAACAGTTTTGCTATAGATTCCAATACATTATGACAAGATGTATTTAAAATATTTAGAAATAAATTTTAACCAAACTTTCAAAAGTTAAGTATAATTAAATTAAATAAAACTTATAAATGTCAACACAATTTATTGTAACTTTTTAAAATAGTAAATAAAACGTAAAAATTTGTATCTCACTTTTAGCAAAATATTCTAAACCTTGTTGAAATTAATAAATGAAATAAAAAATTTTTAAATCACCATTTAGTTATCTTTTTTTCTTCGTTAAATAATATAAGCCTCTAATTAATAATAATTAAAAGGGTGTTTTCCTTATATTCAAATTTTAAATTATATCAAAGTATTTGATTGGCGGATATTAATTTTTGGTAGAAGTAAACTAAAAGAGTAAAATATTCTCCAATTATTTTTTTAATTTATTTTCCAGATTTTTTGCGATTTAATAAATTTTTCTAATCCAATTTTAAGTAGTAATATAATTTTTAAATTGATAGATTTATGCCCTTTTTAAAAATTAATTTTCATTTTTGCTAAATTTTGATCGAGTTAATCTCGTGTTTTATAAATAAGGAAAGATAATGCCTTCATCGGGTGACTAGCATCTCTGAAGTCTTTTGCTCAATACAATATCTGGTCCTTGTTCAGAGTTTAAGTTTAAGTCAATTTTTCTGCCAGAGCAATCGATTCTTAGTAAAAGATGATCTTTATACAACAAGCCGGCCCTCTTGTTATTGATAGGATTAATATAATGAACCAATACACCATCCTTTCTTTGAGTTAAAGTCAACTTTTCGTTTAAAAAAATAGACAAATAAATATATATATTACTTAAATCTAACTATGTGAAATATTTTACCGGAGAAAGATCGGGACAAGGAAGAGTTGTACGTAAAATCGTCGATGGCCGCAAATTGATTAATTCCATTTCACATTTTTCATCAAATTTTTCAGTAGTAAGGGTCAAAGAAGCCTAATAAATACTTTTTTTTATTATTCTAAAATTGGAAAATTACTTCGTGGTTGATTATCAGACTGTAATTATTTTTACCCCAAACAATATTATGGATATTTTCAATATCGTCCTGTAAAAAAATGTTCATAATTGTTTTATTTTCTTCGTTTGGGTTGAAAGATGTTTCCTTAATAAAATAACCTTCAAACTCGCCGAACACATCACCAGTATAATTTAATAATATATTCCTATAATAATATATACATAATATATTAGATCTTGTAAATAAATATTTTGTGTCTGATAAAACATTTCATTAATCTATTGGCAAAATAAATAATACGATATTGTATTAATATGGTGATAAATAATTTGGTTAAAAAAAAATATTTAAGCTCAAGGTTTTAAATAAATCAGAGAATTGTAAAGTGGTCTAATGTTGCACAAGTATACTTTGGAAGTGTATTTTTAAAAATTGTAGTCATTTCAATAGTTTTTTTTTAAAAAAGGCGTATGGTAATGGTACAAAAAAAACATAACAAACGGTAAATATTTTAATTACTATATTTTAATAGCAAAAAGATTTTTGGCATATCAATGTAAGAGAAAATTAAATATAATTAATGGGTTTTACCTGTCAGATATCACTAATCTGCAGATTTGACAAGTAGTCACATCACTTCATTCGTTTATATGTGAGTTATAAATTTAAGTAAACTCAGGCTACTAATGGACAATATATAGCAAATTATTCAAGCAGTTTTTATTATATATTATTATTATCCCTCATATCTTGTGAACCCTGTAAACCGCGCCTTAACCTTATCCAAGTGAGCAGTTGGTATTAGAGAAAAATTGTCAAACAGATTACATTAATAGAGGATTGTAAGCCAAGTCTGGAGTTTTAAAAAATCGAATCAACTCGTAAAAACCCGGTCTGTTTATGGAAAAATTAGTCCTTTCTAGAAGCTAAATTAAACGGAAGTATGTAATATTTTAAAAAAGTGCATAATCGCATTTAAAAAAAGGAACTTTATTTAATTAATTATAAATTGCATTTAAAATACATTATATGCATATTTTTTGCAAAATCGAGTAATAGTATATATGAAGTTATTAAAATTTGTGCTAGGTTGGATATGCATATTGGGTACTATCTTGAAACTGAACTTTCCCTAACAAAGAGGCACAATTTATAATCAGAGCTAACTATATCAGTTTCAATAAATTACCTTTATTATTATTTATTTATAAGATCTTAAATTCAGTTCATCTTATTTTTATTTAATATTTAATATACTCCAATTGATATATTTATATTTATATTCGCTTTATTCCCATCTTATTCTTTTTTTAGCTATAGCATATTTATTTTTTTTAATGTCAATATCAGTCACGGTTTACTTAATTATTCATTTTTTTGTAAGGTTCTTTCAATAGCAATAAAAATAGAAATAAATTTAAAAATAGATTAAATTATAAATGCTTGGTTCCCATTCTAAATTGCTAAATTTAAAAATCTCTCAAAACAAAAAAAAATTAGGAATCCCGCTTATATTTCCTAGTAAATTTGAAATTAATATTAATAAATGCTAGAGAAGTAAACACTTGTATTAAAATTGAGTTTTTTTAAAAAAAAATCGCTAAAAATGAGGGAAATATCATCAAGAGATTCCTAATTTTTAGCGATATTTGTTTTTAGCGATTTAGAACCTATCCCAAATGTTTAGCATTTGGTTGCTGCTTGATTATTAAAAAGCTTATAAAATCTATTTACTCATTTTTAATTTTTTTTAAAAAGGTAGTAGATCACTTCTATAAATATTTCCATCTTGCTAACCATGCCAATTTTTTTTATTAAATAAGGATTTTCAAAACTTTAAGTGCGGATATAAAATAAAAAGGTTCAAGTTCGGTTCTTAAAAATATGAATATCGGCTCGGGTTGAACCTTAAAAACCCGGTTGCAGCAAAAAATAATAATATTGAACAGTATGTAAAAATAAAATATTTTCAAGTAATCTTAGTTATATTTATGATGAGAAAGAATAAATTCTATGGTTGAGAACACATCTATACTAGTGTTGTTAAACGGCTTGTTTTGAGCCGATTTTTAAAAACGACTAACTCAATATTTCATCCAGTATAATATTACGCAAGCCTGAAATTTTTTTTTTAAAAGGAATAAAGGTTTGGACAACTATTAGCGAAATTTCAAGGATAAGGCAATATTTTTCTGGTGAAAATATTGAGTTAGCCGTTTAACAACACTATTCTGTACACGCTAATTTTGTTAAATGGCAACGTCAAAGCGATAAATAGCTACTGACTGATTGTTAAATCTTTAAAAGAGGTCTCTTTTGAGGTTCGGTTTAAGTTCGAGGGAAATCATTTTTAAAGGTCAGGTTCGGTTTAGAATAAGTAAATAATAACGGTTATAACAGGTTCAGGTTTAGTTTAGATCCCTGATTTATTTGTTTAACCCTGGGCCCTATATTATCAAGAAAGTTAGTAAATAAATTGTAAGCTAGATATATATTTTGTATTATTTGAGAGAAATAACTCAAAATTAGAGATTAAACAAATTCAATTTAGGTTCGCTAGCAGCTTTATTAATCAAAAATAAAAATCAGAAAAAATGACGACCAACTATAAAATGGCATTGACACCTATCTATTGTTAAACGCTCATTACAGTAAAGCCATTTTTCTAATACATAAATTATGCATAAAAATATTTGCCCAATATTTTATATTATAATAAATTTTATACCTAATACGTAATTCATATTAACAACTTATTCGCGAATCCTATTTTAAAAATAACAAGCCTAATATATTAGCGCATGGGAAAAAAAATAACAGAAAGAGTTTGATCAAAATATGCAAGTTTTTTTTTAAAAAGTTGCCCCCCTCCCAACCACAAAAAAATCTTTAGTTCCAGCCCTGCATCTAATTTCTTGACAATATCGGACAACTGTATTTCATAGATATAGACAAGCTCATGGAGAGACTTACTCAACTGCTATAAAAGTGATTTTTAACATTTGAGAAATTGAGCATTTTGTAGTCATTAAATAATATATTAAAATTATACATATATTAGTTATAAAAAATTATAAGGACTTATTTTAAATAGATTATATTTACACACCTATTATTATTATATAATATGAAAATTAGCTCGGAAAATGCAACTAGTAATAGCAGACTAAAAAAAATTTAAGGTTTATATGTGTAAATGCACAAAATATTCTAATTTTTGGAAACGATATTTTGTAACGCTCAATTTTTTAGTTTGCTTATCATTCTGCATTTATAAGCCATGATCTGGTATTCCTTTGCCTTAGTGGACTAACATAATAAATCCAAGGCTTAAAAAATGTTGATAATTTTTTTAAATATCGAGTAATTCTAAAATTCTCTCGTTGTATAATTAGTGAATCCCTTCCCCCTTACCTTGGGCATAATTCAATATATATCATATGTAATTTATACTTTAAGTTGATAGGATTTGGTTTTTTTGGATAATATTCATTAAAAAATCTTCCGACATTGTAAATCCCTAATTTTTGGCAATATTTGCAAAGAGTCCTCGCGTCAAAGGCTATGGCTTAAAAAAACATAACATTATTATATAAAATTGAAAGTAATTTTATGAAGAGTCAATTATTTAATTTTATTACTTAAATTAAGAACATGATCGAACGTATAATCTGGATATTTTATCCTCCTGTCAAAAGATCTTGCTCTTTTGTTATTAGATTTACGCATTTCGTTTTCTAAAAGGTTTATATTATAATATTAATATTATCCATACATATAAATCAAGTTTAATTTTAATGTCTATTGGATTAAAATATCTAGATTTGTTTAAATCATACTTAATGGTTTGGTTTCTTTATTGCAGTCCTCTAAATAAACCTTTAGCTCATGGAAACTGTTAGGCATATAAAGATTTTTTCGAACATTTTCTGAATCATTTGTACCCTTTTAACAATATTTTTTTTAAACATAATCTTATAAATTTTAAATAAAATATATTTTAAACTATTGTGACATGCGTCAGATAGCTTATATCCTCAAGTATAATAATGGTTGTCAGTTCATCGTATTTCCTTCTAATTTCAACATATTTATCCATTTGCGAAATTTCAATCTAAAATTAATTTTTTTTATTAAAATGATTACAATGGTTTAATAGCATATGATCCTTAAAATCGAAGTACCTCATTTAAATTAGTTCTTTTTGCAAATAAAGAGGTCAAATTGTGACAAATTATGCAGCGTGTATTTAGCCTAACATCATTACCCATAAGGCTTAATCCGCACACTTTGACTGATTGGTTGCGCTTGATCTTAAAATTTAACTATTAAAAAAAAAAATTGTATAATATTTATAATTTGATATAAAAAAATATATTTACGTTACTCTCTATCCTATAATATATATTTGGAAAGCGATGCTTCAAAGTTGTCATAACAATTTTAAGATTTCGCATTTTTTTCGCGTCGTATGTTTCATTGTTTTGTCTAAATTTGGATATTTCTTCTTGCTTATCTACAATCGTGCCAAATGAAGATAGTTTCTTACCGACATTCGCGGATCTTATTTCGTATAAACCCTTACCATCTACACTATAATACACGGCTTTTGATTTGTCTATATAAAGCTTGGCGCAGAGAGAAATATTGTGACTTGTTATGTTTTAACAGTATGAATTTGCATATGATAAAAAAATTTTAAAGAAAGTATTATAACTTTTTTTTTAATTATTGAATAAGGGTGCATTATAAGTCAAAATAATTTTCAAAAAATAATGATTTTCGCATTTATTCCTGTATGTATTCACAGTTAGTGCGAATTGGCGCGAAAGATGCAAAAATTAATAAAAAATTATTATATTTCATATTTTGTACACTTAGCCGCGAATTTGCATTATCTGTGAACGCAAGGTTATGCATTTCGTAAATTTCAATAATAGATTAATTTTTTTTTAAATAAAATTTTGATTATTTATTATAACTAAAATTATTCAATGGTGCCATTAGCTCATTCTTGATTTACGCATATACTCAATTAGCCTTCTGCGAAGGCTACCCCCCCCCCTCAACAACTTAATTTTGTCATTGATTTGTTTTTTATATAAGTGGCAATTAAAAATAAATAAAGCTCTCATGTTTAAGTGAATTATTTCTGATGAAAACTAATAAAAGCATTCCAATTACATAATTTAAGGAAATAATTCTTTAATTACATGATTGATCCAACATAAGTTTTATCATTTATTAACTCATTCGTCTTGTTGTTTATCCCCGAGGAGAAATTTACATTGTTGCAAAAAGATATGTCATCTGCGATATTCAAACCTTTAGGAATTTAATTAGCATAATATCATAATTTTATGGATAAGAATATTATATAAAAAGATAATAACTAGAATAGTGAATTGCTTTTTTAATTTAAATAGAATTTTTATAATAATATGTTAGCGGAAATGGGCGTAATCAGACAATCCGCGTATTGCCCAAAGATATTAATACTACCAAAGACTTGCGATTCATTTATCAAAAGTGTACAATCAGCTGCATTCAAATGCCATTTGCTGTAGTAGACCCCTATGAAAAGCATTTCGCTTAAATGCCTCTCACATTTTGTTAAATTCCTTTCAACTAGGGACTTCTATGTATGTAAACTGTTGCATTTTAATGAATGAATCCCCACTCTGATTACACTCAATTTTAGCAAATAAATGCAAAAAAAATCCAAAAATTTATGATCTAACTCTCTGAAATTTAAAAGATAGATGATATTTTAAACATATTTAAATATATTTTCGACAAAATCAGATCTTCAAATTTAAAAAAAAAATGATTTTGACAGAAATGTAATCAGCTGTGGGCAAAATACTTACCCTATAAATTTAAAACAATTTTATGAGATATTATGCATATATTGAAATCTTTAAAATAATTATTTTTACATGAAAATAAATGGGAATTAAAATTATTTCACTCACCAATGCCTTTATTAAATGTAACTACAATTAAGGCCCATAAAATGGATATACCAGTAAAATTATATTTCATCTATCAAAATTTTAATATATTTTTACAATTATATAAATTAGATTATATCAATATGCTGGGAAGTGTAAACACTTCAAAAGAAAAAGTACTTTTTTTTGCTTACCAATTTAAATATTAAGTTTAAGGTCATTCTTAAGTAATCAAAATATAATTAGAAATTTAAATGAATAGAGTAGATTGAATATTAATAGAATTCGAATCTCTTTTAGGAATAATATATTTTAAAGTAGGATCCAATTTTTTAAAACATATTTATTTAGGTTCGCAAATATTTATTATATTAATAGAAATACTTGAATGACTTATTATTTTAGAAATCTTATAATTCAAGGTTCAGGTGCCGATTGAATTTAATAATATTGATTTTTTATTAAATTTTGAATTTGACCCTGGATCAGATTCATTAAACTGATCTCGACTTTCGATGCAACGAACTATTCCATTCCATACAAAAAATAGAACATTTGAAAATGAAAATTTTAATATAAAAAAATATCACTTTTTTCTTTTATTAAATATTGTAGCTTGAAAGCTTAACATGTTCAATTTTTTTGCATGTTAAAATTATGTAATGTCAATCACCCCTACAAGGGGATCCGATGAGATCTAAACGGGATAGGGTAAGAGATACTTTTAAAATATTTTATACTAATTTATTGTAGTTTTTTTTAAAAAATTATATTTTCTCAAAAATTTAACAAGCAAAACATTTTTTGCCTCTTTTTTTAATTCCATCGTGTCGTGCCAAGAACTAATCACCAAAAAAATATTTGGGTATGATAAACAATTTTTTGTGGGACAATATACGCTCTTAAAAATGACAAAAAAGGGTTTGGAAATAACCCTTGAGCTCATTTTCGAAGATGCAAAAAAAAGAAATAATGTTACTGTCAAACTCAAGATACAGATATGGAGTAGCTTACGATTTAAACCTGAAAATTATCAAGAGAGTTAGATTTCTAAAAATAAATAGTATGTTTAAGAAAGGGTTAATTTTTAAAAATTATTTATATTAAATACGAAATATATAATTAAGCTTCTATTGACGATGATTCTAAATCGAATACCTACAATTGGACGAATTTTTTATTTATATTATCATATCTTTACTAAATTTGTGTGGCTTTTCTAAACTTTCAATATTTTTAAATTAAAGGGTTTTATCAGGGATCCAAACTTAACCTGATCCGAACCCTTAAACAGCTAAAAACCAGTATTTTTTATCGAACCTAAACCGCTAAAACCCTGTATTTTTTATCGAACCTAAACCGCTAAAAACCTGTATATCCAACCCAAACCGCTAAAAAATTTCTAGCCTAATCTGAACGGAATCGTTAAAATGCCTCAGCCTCATGATTCTATGCTTATATAATAATGTGTAAATTATTACTAGTATATTGCAAATAACTTAATTATATTCGAATTGTTTTAAAGATTTTTATATCACATTTGATTGATAAGCGTCAGTCATAATTTTTATAAACTTTAGTACATTGCCATTAAATATTTTAAGCTTATAAATTATAATGCCTAGAGAAAAATAAAATCTAATATATAAATTATTTTATTTACATATAGTATTATAAATGACACATCAAATCTGATATCATACTGGGATTGCCGGCTACCCAAGTTAGTGTGGAAATATGTTTTTCAACAATTAAATTTATATCTCATTATAGATGTAATTTGAGTTAGAAGAATTTTGAAAATATATTAATTATGCTGCTTAATAAAAAAAATTTAAGTAAATAAAGTTAAATATTGTTCAAAATTAATCATTGATATTTATTTGTTATATATATAAATCAAATATAATTTTATATGTGCAATGCAATTAATAAAAATGAAGGATGTAGTAAAAAATATTCTTCCCTATACATAATTCGAATGTAGGTTTGAATACAAAAGTGTTCAAACCGGTTTTTAGAGGTTCCAACTGAACTGATATTTTTATTTTTTACGAACATCTGAACCTTGAACAGTTATTTTTATCCGAACCTGAACTGATATTCGTTTTGGTTTGGATCTCTGGGTTTTATTATTAAAATATAATAATAGAATTTAAATAATTGCCCTAGTTTGAATTATCCCGAGATCTTTGAAATTTAATAATTAGTATATTTTGTCAATTTTAAGTTTTTCAATGACCCATATCTCCAGAAAACTAAATTGGAAAGAAAAATCCCATTTATTTCCCAGCAGTATTACTCATGCAAATAAAAAATTAAACTGAGAAAATGGCATTTTGAAATGGGCCCTTAACATATTTTTATAAATTAAATAATTCCATTTTTTATCATAAAATTTTCTTTTATTTTCGTGTATACAATAAAAATTTAATCATGTGTTCAAGGGGGGTAGGGATATCAAGATTTAGCGATTTTAAAATAAGGTCTCATTTTGATCAAGTTGATTGGCAGATATTTCGCGTCAGTAGCTTAGGGGATAAGGGCCCCTGCACAATGCCTGCTGGAAGCATAAGCCGAAAAGTCAAGTTACTAACAGCACAGAGAGAGGACCAAGTGACCTTACAATTGACCCAGTGCACCTTTGATCATAATTGTTAGGGCCAAACTAATTGTCATAACAGAATTTACAAAATATTAGATACCTAAACCCTTTTCTAAAATTATTTATGTCCTAAATTATTTAATAAATAATTCTTGGGCAAAACGAGTTTGGATAAAATCTTAATCAGATTGGCTTTTAACAATCGACCCAAATCACACTTTTTAATAGAGACCTGGAGTGAACTGTAACGAATCGTTAAACCATTATAAATATCAGAAACTCAACTGAACCGATATAAATATTTTTTGAAGGAGTAAAAAGAACCTTTATAAAAAAGATTAAACAGGTTCAGTTTTTATATTTTAGGAATCAAAAGAATTTTAATGTCCAGAATTATATAAACTTGCTCTTATAGTACTGATAGTTCCCGCAACACAAGTTTCTGTAGAAAGGGCCTTTCCAGGGCAAAATTTATGTTAACGTCACAACAAATATGATTTCATTTATATGAGAAAATATATAACTTATAATATATTTAAAAATGAGTTATTTTGAATCTTATATATTTTTTTTTATATATAATTCATAGATGCTTATAATAAAAATAAATTAAACGTTGGTGTTGCTTCAATAAAAAAAAATTTCTAACCGTAATGAACCATTATGAACCTTTATAATTAGCTGAACCGAATTTTTGTAAATTTTTTATTATAATTTTTACATACTCTGAACCATTATAAATAATGAATCGGGTCCGTGCTTTTTAACAACCTGATGGCCCAAGGATTTTTTATCATTTTTTTTAACCCAACTTGTAAAATAAAGTGGTTTGGCCTAGCCCATTATGATTTTTTATAAAGAAGGACAATTTTGATTAATTATTAGTTTTAAAGAAGCATTTTAAAAAACTTTGGCCAATACCATAAAAATATTTTGTAAAATTTGCCCAGCCAGCTTGGTTTGGACTGAGCTTGAATATACAACTGCAAATTTGATGGGGATTCTAAATATAAAAAGAGATCAGAAAATATTTAACAATGCTTATATTATATTGATTAAAGTTGTTTTTTACATTTTTATATTAACTTATATTTTTACTTGCAATATTTGTGGTATGGTGTTAGAAATTTAAAATAATAAAACTGTTATTAAGATAAGGCCTAATCATAATGTATTTTCCAAATATCTAATATCTTTCTGTTATAAGTAGTGTTGTTAACAGGGCCGTAGCCACGGGGAGCCCAGCCCCTCCCCCCCCCCAAAAAAAAAATTTTTGGCCCCCAAACCTGGCCTCCAGAATAAATCTTTCCCCAAAAATTTCTCTGCCCCCCTCCCAAATTTGGAATTTTTTTTAGAATTGATTATTTTTCTATTTTTAATATAAATTTTGAATATTTATTCAAAAATATTCTAAAAAAAATATGTCTATTTAGAATTGATTATTTTTATATTTTTAAAATAAATTTTGAATATTTATTCTACAAACATGTCTAGTTTGTAAAATTTTTTCTATCATGCATTATTTTTATTTTTACCCAATATTAAATTATCATTCATTCATTTTTTTTCATTTGTTTTTGTTGTGTATAACATTCTCTATAGGTATCACATTTATATTATAATATATAACTAGTTATTTTATTTTACAGCGTTTATTTTAAAATTATGAAGAAACAATCAGTTATTAACTCTTATTTTAAGTTAAAGAAAAATGTCAAGCAACATCACCTCTACAAACTACTAGTAATACTACATCAGAAATTTCAGAAACTGATTCTTCTCATAGTTAGTATAAATTTATATTATTATTTCATGACTTATATGATATTGATATAGGGCAATACCTATATATTATTATTTCATATATATTTATTTTATATAAGATAAGAGACAGACATTTATTATTAATATTATCATTTTTGTATAATAATTTTAATTATTAAAATAAATATATTCACTCATATTTCAAGTTATGAATGAAGCTAATAATCTAGAAAATGATCCTCACTACACTCAGGAGGAGGAAGATGGTAAATAGTTTAAAATTAACCCAAATTTTTCTATTTATATATTTTTGACAATATCAATAGGAGTAGGAGATTATGGTGTTTCATTATTACATTTTGTTTTAAATCAAATAAAGACGAAGAAGAGACTCAATCATCTTCATCTAGCAGCTCAGTCTCTCATTGTCAAGAGGCAACTAGTAATTGATTTATAAATATAAAATTATTATATTTTTTCGTTAATCTTTAAAGATAATGTTTATGACCTTTTTCTAGTTTTTTTAATACTGAATATCTATAATTTTACTGATCAACTTTATTGATAATCTTCATCAGGGTTAGGCACTACAGTATAGCAAATACTTGTATCTTAAATACAAGATAAATTTTGTGTTTGTTCATTTTCAGCATGCCCTTCCTTCGCCCATCCTGATGACCATTATTATTTATGACCCTTACAATTTATTAATTATAATATTTTTAGTGTCAAAAAAAAAGTCCTCTAATGGTTCAATTCAAATCCCAGGTGAACTTGGCCAGAATAAATCAAATTAAACAATTACGCGAAAAAAGGTATCCATGGAAGGCAAAGATCATTTGAAAAATCATGGTATAGAGGCCGAGACTGGTTGGAGTATAGTGTAGAAGCTGACTGCCTTTTGTTTTCCATGTAGGAAATACTTGTGTAATCCAAGTGATTTGGACAAACGGGATTCAGAAATTGGAAAAATGCGTTAGCTGCCAAGAAGGGACTTCTAAAACACGAGAGCTCAAAAGCTCATTTAAATTCAATTACAATATGTCATGATAAAAATCAAAATATAAACAAAGGTACAGAAATAACTAAAATGTTGGGAAGCTATCAAATTACGTAATCAATATTATATTGAATCAATATTTGATTTGATGTTTCTTAGCATACAAGAGCTACCTTTCCGTGGGACTGGTTCAACAAATATTACGGATGCTGCAAAAGATGAAAACATAATTTATTCTTCTGGGCTATTTATAGCAATGTTTTCCTACACCATCCAAAAGACCCTGAATTAAATAAAATTATGAAATTTTTACCCCAAAATGCCCAGTATACATCATCACAGATTCAAAACGAAGTAATATCCATTATGGCAGACATGGTGCTTGAACATATTTCAGACAAATATAATAAAAGCGAGATGCCTTTTTTTTGTCTTAAGGCTGATGAGACAAAAGATGCTTTTCAGGTTGTGAAAACCTGAGCATAATAATTCGCTATATTTTTTCTGGAGAAATTCAAGAAAATTTAATAGGAATCATTAATTTAGAGTGTCTTTCTGCTGAAAGAATACAGATCGCATTTTAAAGCAACTTAATGATCTAAATATTAATTCAGCTAATATAATAAGCCAGGCATATGATGGTGCAAACGTTATGTCTGGCCGAAATGGAGAAGTGCAAACACTTCTTCAAAAAAAAATAAATAAAAATGTTCCTTTTATACATTGCTACAACCACAAGTTGTGGTTCAAAATTGGTATAATAATATTGTTATTATTTCTAATTTTTTAATTTATCAAATTCATTGTATAATTTTTCAGGCGTTTTAACGTATCCTGTAAATATATAGGCCACACCCTTAAGTAGTGTTGTTAAATGGCTCGTTTTGAGCCGATTTTTAAAACGGCTAACTCAGTATTGCATCCAGGATAGTATTACGCAAGCCTGAAGATTTTGTTTGTAGAAGGAACAAAGGTTTGGACATCTCTTAGCGAAATCTCGAGTCTTAAATAATTTTTCCTGGCTAAAATATTGAGTTAACCGTTTTTAAAAATCGGCTCAAAACGAGCCGTTTAACAACACTACCCTTAAGAGACTTTTAGACCAGAGGTGGATTGGTCATTTGGAAACATCTCGCATTATTTATGAGAATTTTGAGGCTATTGGTAAAGTATTATTTTACTTTTCTAATAGAACTCTTAATTCAGAGGTTTCAATTCATGATTCAGTCGAAGCCTCTGGTCTTTTATCTCAATGTATATAAATTACATTATATTAGCCATCATAATTTATGAGATATTAATTACAATAGATCCACTAAATAAGTATTATTAATCAGTAGGTACTAATCTAGTGGATGCTAAAAATTGTATTGATTCTACTATCAATATATTAAAAAATAAAAGAAGTGATAATTCTTTTGCTTTGATTATGATTAAGGCTGAAAAACTTTTATCAAAATTTAATCTTACTCCCCAAAAATCATCACGGGTACGTAAAACGCCTAAAAATTTCCAAGATTTTTTAGTTGATAGCAAACTAGAAATTCGATTGTGAAAAAGACTCCAATTGGAGTTCTTTAAAAAGGATATATTATGAAATTATAGATAACTTTGTGGATCGTTTTTTAGACCGATTTACAGAAGATGATTTTAATCATTTTTCATCTTTTAATACATTGCCCCCTCTTGACCCTGATTATTTTTTATCAGATAAAATGGTCCCATTAAAATCCCTATTAAACTTAAATATGGAAACACTGCATCATGAAATGAAGATAGCATAAGGATTGCTAGCTTTGAAAGCTAAAGAAAATCATAATTTTGAAAATATCTTACATATTATGTATAAAAAATATATACTCATGCATTTAAAGAATTATATAAATGCTACTCAGCAGCAATAATCATTGGGATATAAACGGCTTCTTGTGAGGCCTTGTTCTCTACATTAAAGATGGTTTTATTGAGCAGTAGAGAGTCTATGAAGAATAAACGTAAACAAAATTTAGTATTAATGGCATATGAAAAAAGAATAACGCAGAATTTATCTTTTAGTTCATTTATATTAAAATTTAAAAATAAAAATCGCCGTATTCTATTATAGTAATATTTTGTTTTGTATATTCATATTATAGTATTATTTTGTTATTAAATTTTTAATAAAAATAGGAAATTTCTATTAATGCATAATTATTTGTTTGATTTTAAAAAAATAGTGCCCCCCTACCAAGTAAGCACTTGGCCCCCCTAAGAGAAAATTCCTGGCTACGGCCCTGGTTTTTAAACAACTTGCTTTGATCTGATTTTTAAAAATGACTAACAAAATATATATATAAAAAATTACACTAGCCTGAAGATTTTCTTCAAATAAGGCACAAAGGTTTAAACATATATTGGCAAATCTCAAGGCATAGGCAATTTTTCCTGCTATAATGTTGAATTATCCATTTTTAAAATTGCCTTATAAGTAGCTATTTAACAAAATTACCTAACTAACTAAACCATAATATTTTTTAGGTAACATATTTAACTTAATGTGCTCATTCCAGTTTATAATTAAATGCTATGTTATAGTTATTGATTATAATCTAAAATAAAAATTATTGTTAAATTTAACAAGTAATTATTACTAATAATTTATATTAGAGATAACATATAAAAATAAATTATAATATATCATCCTGAAATGACATTATTCCATTAATTTCATAAATTAAGCATCTAAGTTGAGAAATTTTGGTTAGTAATTCTGCATTTTTTTCTTCTAATTCCTATAATAATATAATTTTATATAAATTGTTGTAATATCTACAACTTTTTTAAGATCTTGATATTCTTTTAAATTTGTTTGGTTTAAATTTTCACAATATTCTATATTTGCATTTGACAATTTTTGATTATTATTTCCATTTTCAATCTTAGTATCTTTCACAAATATTTTCTGTTAAATTAAATGTATTTCAAAATTTTTAGAATTTATACATCAATTTCCAACTTCAAATTAGTTCTATCGAGAGAACATTTTGCATATAAATTTTCCAATTTCACAAACATTGATAATACATTATTCAAAATTTCTTGACATTTTCTTATCTTTTCCTGCGTAGCAGTTATTTTTACATTAATAGTGGTTGGAAGCTATAAATATAAATTAAAACAATATTAATTTTTTTCTTTTTGCCTGTATTGATTTTAAACATTGAAAAGCTTCAGATGCTTTATGAACAATTTCCTGCACCAAATTTTGTCCAAGTTGTGTTAATATTGTAATGTTCTTTTTGTGTTAAATTAGAAAATCGTAATAATTAAGGTATTATTACTTGATCTAGAGAGAATTCGTGTTGTTCTTTTTCAATATTTTGTGCCTTTAATGTATCAGTTAAAGATATTGTTTCTTTACTAAAATTGGAATGTAATTGTGACGATATTACAATAGGCGATGCTGCATGAATATTGCGTTGTATTGGGTTTATAAAGGGATTACTTTTGACAGGACTATAATTAACATTGTATGGATTCGATTGATTACTATATGGTGAAACTAATGCTGGTATTGGACTTAACATTCGGTTAGAAAGAGGTTCGGTATAATTATAACTGCCATGTGGTGATATGTTAGGGGAAAAGGCGGAATAAATATTAGTACTCACAGGAGATGGATTAGGAATAAAGCTTTGTTGAGGTGATGGTTGAGCTTGAGTGTTTGATTTCATTAATAATCTTTTATATATTTTCAATTAACATATATTTGACATGTAACTGATATTTCCATCAAATATTATATAATATTATTTCGACGTATTCTTTTTTGATTATTATATATAAATTTTTATTCTATTATAATAATAAAATATTTTTATGATTATAAAATTGGAAAAAGTATATTAAAAAAAGTATAATTATTTATAAATTTAATTGTCCCTAGAATTTTCTGTAGTCTTGGCATTGATTTATAAGATGTGACACTTGATACAGTAAAAATTATTTATTAATATGGATGAAAAATGATGAGAAGCCATGGGTAAATAACTAATCAATTTTTTTTAAATTAACCATCATTAATTTTGGTTATAAAATTGTTATATATAAAAAGGGGTAAGGAAGGCAATATGAGTAATCTTGAGTATGAACACACTTATATATCAAATTCGCTTTTGTTAATGTTTAGTGTGAACTCTAAAAGAAAAGTAGGAAATATTTTAAAATAATGTATGGTATTAAGTAAATTAGCTGTCACGTCACTTATTATATTTGTGAATTTTTAAATACAGTTTATCAATCAATATTTACCCTCTATTCCAGGTTAAAAGGGTTGATGCAAGATCATTAAAATAAGAGGGGTAAATAGTTATAAGATGCTACCATTAATGTATTTAACAAATTGCATCATAAATATCTTAAAATCCTTATTCATGATTCTTCCATTTCAAACACGAAATTGTCAACTTATAACAATGTATTTCAATTTGTAATCAATTTTTAACAATATTAAAAAGGAACTCTATACTGTAAGTTTATTAAAATAAAATAGTTGTTAATACAATTACGCAACTACTTTCCTTAAATACTGAATTTTGAGTTGTACTTATTAAAAAATATTCTCCATTTTTAATGTCTTCATTAAAACCAGTCACAACTACCAATGAGAATTTCTTGGGAATATAGGAAATTTTCTAGAAAATTTGGAACATTTTGAAAATTTTATGTGAAAATGTTCCAAATTGGTTAAAAATCAAAAAAAATTAACCTAAAATGAGTCATGCTTGACTCAAATAAATTGGATATACTAAATAGAGTAAAAACCAAAAGATAAGTCTTAAACTGCAATATATTAATTTTTAATGCAAAAATTTTATTTAATATTTGAAATCACAATTATTGAAATATATATGCTGTAAATTAATTGGAGAATGAGGAGTTCAACTGCTCATTCTCTAATAATATCTCTCGTTGATGTTGATATTTTGCAGGGATGTGAACCCGGACCCTAAACCCTCGTATTTTGGCTGAACCCGGACCCGGAGCCTTTTAAAAAGTGGAGGGTCCAAGGGTTCAGGGTGCTAAAAATTTTAACTTAAAATAATTTTTTTAAATTAATGTAAAAATATAATTTGTAAAAAAATATAATTTTTTAATTTTTAAAAAATAATATAAAATTTTTATAATTTTTTAATTTTAAAAATTAATGTAAAATTTTTATAATTTTATTAATTTTTAAAAAATAATGTAAAATTTTTATAATTTTATTAATTTTTTTCGTGGAATCTCCCAAAAATAGTCACTTTAAAACTATAATTGATAAAGCAAGGGATGTTGTAAAATATTTAAGAACTCCCACAATTGTTAGAATATTAAAATCCATGAAAAGGTAAATGGCAATTTTAGATTGCACAAGACGTTGGTCCTCTATATGTATGATGCTAGAGCGATTATTAAGTTTGAAAGATTTCTTTAATGATTTATCATAGGAGCATGTGAAATCATTTTGTCAGAAGATGATTGGAATCAAGTAAAAGAGCTTACTAGTGTGCGTTCCTTTAAAAATAACAACATTAAGAGTGCAAGCAGAACAATTAAGTTTATCCGATTTTTATGGCATATGATTAAGAAGTCGATTAGAGTTAGGGAGATTAACAAGTTCTTTTTCAAATGAAGTGTTAGAAAATACGAAAATAAGAGAGCAACAATATTTACAAAATAGTGTTGTATATGCTTCTATATATTTAGACCCGCGATATCAGGTTTTATTAAGTAGTGAGCAAAAACAAATGGCTATAGACCATCTTGAAGATTTATGGCATACCCAAAACTCTATTATTTACAATACATTGGTGGTTACAACAATATCTACGGGTTGTAGAGAACAATGATAATGATAACGATATTGATGATCTGGAAATTTTACTATTAGGTAGAGAAAAAAAATTAAATTATCATCTCATAGAAAGGAGCAAAAAATATCTATTGTATCTATAATAGAAAAGTTCTCGGAAGTTATGAGAATAAATAGAGATGCAAACAATAAAATTCTGGGAGGAAAATTCTTCAATATATCCAGAATTATATACCTTTTCTAGAATCGTCATGGCTGTACCGGCGACACAAGTACAATAATTTATGTATTATAAAAATGACTATCTATTTTAGGTAAGCGTAGAACGTGGATTTTCATCGTTGACTAATTTACGTGGAAATCTGAAGGATGATATTTTAGAAGATATCATGATTGTGCGATTGAATAAAATATTTAAAATATAAATTATCTCATTTCGAATTATAAATGTGTATATATTGAAGTATAATAAAAAATGAATGAAAAAAAGCCTTATTTTGAGTCATTATTTTTATGTTTCCTCTGAACCCGTACCCAGGTCCTTTTTAAATTTATTACAAGATCCCGAACCCGGACCCTTTTTTTTTGTCGAAGGGTTCACATCCCTGATATTTTGTACAATTTCAGGAATTAAAATAACTCAATGAAATAACTAGATGATTGTTATTGCATTAATAAGTTGTAAAAAATTGCATTTTATGGGAAATTAACTTTTCTACGCGATTGGTAAATCTATCACGATTTTTGGAATGGGGTGTTCCAAAATAAGACCAAATTCTCTCCGAAGATGCATTCGTCGGAGGAATCGATATAAGTTTTATAGCAATCAAACTTCTAGTTTAGTGCACACAAACGTCTTTCCACGATATCAGAGAACATATTTATTCCCCTATTCCAAAAAACCACACTCTGATCGAAATTCTGCTAGATTGGCTAAAACTCCGTTATTTTGATTAAATTCTACAATTTTTCAAAAATACATGTCTGTTAATAAATTGATAAGAACTGAATCGATTTTGTAATATTCATTAATCAAACAATGAAAATTTTTAAAGAACATGCCTGCCTTTTGTCATATAAAAATTTTCAGTTTTTTTAAACATTTTCAATAAATTGTAATAATAATTACCACACTTCTGGTTATAATTTTTTACAAATAAAATCCTCTTCGCTTTAAAAATAGTTTTTTTTATTATCCAATCAGACATTTTGCAGATTAAAAATTTAGTTACTGCATACAATTTTCATAATTGTATCGACAGTCATACATTTATGAGGAAATTTAAGATAAGTTTTTATTTTGAGATTTCAAAATCTATTCTGACTCATTAATTACTATATTGGTAAATGTAATGTTTATTCTGTCACACAACGGTTAGAAATATGATTAATATTCATAAGCCTACATTTAATTTTCATAATCATACCGTTTTTTGGTTGTGCGTACAGTACCAAGAATAGTTGCATCTAAGTTACCTGATCCTTTTGCAACTTGAACTCTCTATATTTTTTTGACATCTTGAATAAACTTATATCTATATCGAAGATATTTTCTTAAAATACTTTTTAAAACTTTTGTTTAAAAAATTCAATTTCGATTTGTTTGAAGAATATTTTCATTATAATGTCCCTTTTGGTTTCTTATTATATTTATATAAATTATATTGTAAGAATATTTTATTATAGTGGTCGAAGCATCAAGTGTTTGATAGTTTTTAGGTAATTTAAAAATATTTCGTTGGCAAAATTTATCTTTCAGCTCGTTGAGGTAATTTCCTCATAGTAGTTCTGTTTGATTATACATCTCTCAATTTCCACTATTATTGCTAGGTCACACACAATTCTTTGAAAATTGTAACTAAATGATGAAGAGGAGATGTAGGCGCGAGTAACATTTGTAACATTTATCCATTAACGGTAACTTAACCCACAACCAGAGATAGGCACCTTAAAAAAAAATCTAGATACATATTAAAATTTTTTATAGAAAAATATACCTTGATACAGATACAAGCATCATTAAAATGGTATAAGATACTTGTATCTTTGGCCAAATAATATTGATTCAAGATACTTTTATGAATAGTTTATTTATTCCTTCTGCGCAATAAGCTATAAAGCACATGAGGAAGTCAAGAAATTCCATACACAAAAAATTGATATCATCCTAACTAAAACACCAGGCAAGCCATTTTCTTTTCTAATCTCCTTTTTCCGAGTCCTGGATCGCCCGTCTATATGAGGCAATTTAATTTGGAGACGACCCGTGAGTATCTGTACCCTATATAATTGGCCATTACAAACCTACTCAACAAAAATATATGGAGGCATATTTCAATAAATTTTACAAAATTCAAAAATATGATTATGACAAATTTATAATATTCTTAATTTGGCAAAAAATATATATCATAAATAGATAGTAATTTCAATATTTAAAATAAATATGACCAGTAACTAGTCATAAGGAAATAAAATATAAAAGGACATGGCAGGAAGTTGGAAATAATGGATGGAAAATAATTTTCTAAAATAAAATTAAATATGTATCAACAATATAGAAAATAAATAATAAAAAAAATTTGAATAAAATCTTATTTAAAATAATACTATTAAAAATTATTTTTATAGACAAATATTTTATAAAATTTAAGTATAATAATATAATTTATATAAAAAAATACAAATTTAAACAATAAATGCTCTGTGTACAAATAAATTGGATTATTTAATTTGGCTCGTCGTCGTCATTATGCTTGATATTCTTTTTATATTAAAACTTGGTATCTCCTATATTTTTTTTTGATAAAAATAAATGTAGAATATATAATGCTATTAAGATAAACGATTAATTGTGCTTAAACGTAATAATCAGAGTTCCGACTATAGTTGGGTAATTACTAAATTTTTAGCCGTTAAATAACAGTTTTTAGCCGAAAACGATCGCTTTGGTCTTGGGGTTTTTCTTAAAAAGATAGCAGCTCAAATTTGGAGAACACTAATATGGTTAACGGTGCAGATATGCACCAGGCTAGATTTTCTATTTAGGATTATTTTTTATTGGCTGATTTTTTTTAGAATATCATATTTGAGTATTAGTCAATATAATTTTAAAAAAATGAGCATTATTCCACTAGAAAAATCTTGACCATTAATGGGTTAACAGATTTCCTCCGACAAGCGCTTGAAAATTGAGGCGAATTAGCCGACATTTAACCATTGCCCAACTATAATTCTGACAAGTAATTCAAGATGTAATAATAAAATAAGAATACCGGATTAAATTTTATTATAAAAAAATACTCTTTAAAAATGTCAAAAAGTGATTATTACAACGTTAATATCAGGAAAACCAGTAAATTATCTCCATTCCTATAATATGCTTGATAAATTACGGACAATCATAATTTCAAAGTATATTTTAGGGAAACGAGTTAAAAAAGAAAAAAAAAACCAACTTCATACAATAAAGATTAAAACTTACGCGTCTAAAAAAAGAAGATAATTGTCGAAAATTGATCAAAGGCATTAAGCTAGGCCTGCCGTGGGCGCATTGAAATGGTAAATTGCAAAATTTAAGCTGCATAATCAATTCGGCGCACTGTAAATTGGTGAGTGGCTCGTTAAATTTTATGGCGTCTTGAGATAACGTTGAGAAAATATTGAATATTATATATTGTCTTTTATAAAAAAATGTTTACTATGACAAGCCTTTGAGCATAAAATTTCGAAAAGTGTTTTGGGAATCCTCCTTATAATACCATTGCTTGATTTGATTTCCTAAATATAGATAGAAAAAAAATAATCAATTTAATTATAAGATGGAAAAAATTTTTATAATTTTTTTGAAAAATTTTAATATTTTATTAATAAAAAAAACTTCACCTGAATAATTTCGATTATCAAATTTTTAATCAATGCCATAAAAGAATTAGGTAAAACAATATTTGCATTATAATCATCATCCATTTTGAGAGCTAATTTTTTATCGCCATTTTTCTTGTTTTTTTTATGACTAGTACTATACTTCTGGCTTTTGTAAACATCGCCCAATAAGAATTGAAAATTTAAAAACAAGGCCTCGGGAAGATTCTTTATTCGAATCCGGTGTCCATCTTTAAAAATAGCGAAATCACCAGTATTGTCAATATATTCATCACACTCAAAATGTATACCTAATCTCCAGAATTGTTCCCTTATGATTTATAAAAATAGAATTTATAGTTGCTTTTATATGTGTTAGCGTCAATCTGTTTTCCGGCAATGTGTTATTTTTAATACTTTAAATCATTTTAGAGCACGTTTTTATTTAAAACGGGAAATGTATTCCTTCATGTTTGGAATACCTATCTTATGAATTGAAGACAATTTTGTAGTTATCCTTTGAATCATTTATAAGAGAAAGAGACATATAAAGTGTAAAAGTTCATGCAAAATTGCCTGAAATTCATAGAGTAGGTATTCCAAACGTGATGAAATAGACCCGGTAAAATCAGATTTTTAAATTTAAAAATGATTTAAAATTTAATAAATAACACGTCGGAAAAAAACACGTTGACGCTAAAAAGTATATAGCATTTTACCTCGTTGAATATCATATTAAAATTCACGAGCACCACTTTAAATATATGTAAAATAAGTCTAAAATGATGCTTTTAAAATTTATACTTATATCCTATAATTAGCTCCGTATCTTCTTGACTCAAGGAAAGTAGAACAGGCACAGATAAAGGAACGATCAGCGAAGCATCGATATCTTTGTTCCTCGGGAAATATTCTTTTTGTAGGTTTTATAAAATGTTTATTATAATGCTTTGCAAAAAAAAACTAAACTTACTTTTTGACAGAGATTCTAATAAAATTCTCTCATGTGCGGCGTGTTGATCCAGGAGATAAATATCGAATTCGTTACTAATCTCGCCGATTGTTGTATCAAGTGAATTATTTACATAAAAACAAATATATTTCTGGTCTAACTGACCAATCACCTTGCAAAGATATAAATTTTAAAAAAAAACAGTCTAAGTGTATATTAAATATGTTATTTATTCTTTCTTTCTTTTTCTTTCTTTCTTTCTTTCTTTCTTTCTTTCTTTCTTTCTTTCTTTCTTTCTTTCTATCTTCTTTTTCTTTCTGTCATTTTTTTCAACCTTAGCTTTGTCGAAGATCGTTTTATCAGTGTTTGTAGGCATATCAATTTTATAAAGATTATTGTGAATGACTGGTACAAGATTCGCAATAAATTTGTTCTAAAAAAATAATAAATGTATTTTTTATTTATCATATTGTTCATATAGAAAAATATTTATTATATATTAATAAACTGAGTTATGGAGTTTAGAGCTTGATTGATAAGGAGTCGAAGTCTTGAATAAAGCTATTTGTTTTTATAAAAATATTTTTTAAGATGGGAATGAAATTCTTTAAATTTTAATTTCCCACCTTAATATTTAAAGCAAGTTCGAGAGAGACACTGTATTAAAATTTATTATTGGTTTATTATAATTCTCAAAAAACACAAATTAACACAAAAAATGAAAGAAGAGTATATAAATAAAATAAAAATGATCAGGTGATGATATTCTTACTTTTTTTAATGCCTTTTATATACTAGATCGCGAAGAAAAATTTTTCAAATAATATAAATAATCCTTTCTATTCGAATCATATAATAATAAACAATAAATAAATTTCTCACTCGTTAAAACAAATGACACACATATTTTCTTACTACTTTAATAGTATATATATTACTACAAAATTTACTTTTAAAAGTTTTAAAATGTTTTTGAGTCCAATTGTTTGATATAACACGCTCAGCTTTGCTTAATAATGTATTTGTTGGTTTAAATAAATTATCAGATTTTTCGAATGAAGAAAAGCTGATAGCTTCTTCTAATATTGTTGTTTTATCAGTTTCTATCATCGAATAATTTGAATCAGAGTCTTTAGAAGTGCTGACAACTTCATTAAGAATATTATTATTGTCAACCCGATGCTTCTCAATCACATTTATGGAATCATTCATAACTTTAGCCAATTTTTTGGAATAATTTAAACGAACACGAATAGAATCTTGAGTATTTCGTTGTTTTGAAGTGATATCACAAAATGATAGCTCATCATTATTATAAGCTTTTTCTATAGCTAAAATCGGGGAAGATATGGGTAAATTTATTTTGATCGGGTTTTGATGAGCGTCCTTTCTACTCGAATCGTGCCCATCTAAACCCGCTTCGAGGTTTATGTATTTTTGAAAATTGGTAGTTATAAATGGAGGCGCTTTTCTTTCATACACTTTTGGCGATAATTTTGGTGTCTTCTTATCTTCATTTTTCCTTTGAGGATAACGGTTAGGATGGAAATGTGAATTCTTAGGCGATCTGTTGAACATAAACTCAGATGCTGTTGGAGTATTCGAAGAATGGCAAGGTACATCATCGATTCTGGGGCAAACTTCTTGTGATCCAGAATGGAGGAATGTATTATGACTGTGTGCGGGATGAGTTGACGTGTTTAAAAACAACGGAGTTATATTATTATCAATGCATATCGGTTTAGCGGTAACATTTTCTTCTAAAGGCACATATTCGTCAAAGTTTTCTCCGCATGTCGAATTATTAACATATTCATATCTATTAGACTCTATCACCTTTCGCGGGGTTCGGTATTTGGACAAATAAGGGAGACTTAACATTGATTTATATTTAATTTTAACGGAGTTACAACATTTATGAGCATTCGTGTCTCTTCTGCGATAATTGTATCCTAAATAAAATTAGTATGTCTTTGTAATTAAATATTGATTTTTTTTTAAAAAAAAAGAAACATACCTAGGTTTTTGTAAGATATATTTTTAGCTTTAAAATTCTTCAGTATTTTATCTTTACTTCGCTGATGGTCAGCACATTTGCCAGCTAAAATAGTATTGTAAACGCTGGTTTTTGTACTACATGAATCCGACATTGATAGCCTAAATAAATCTTTTTCGCGAATAATCTCACTCAGGGAATTATAACCTTTATCACTACAAATAAATGGCTTATTAGACCATTTCTCGTTGTATCTATACTTTGCCCAAAAGTGACTACTCCTGCAATTTATGAGAACAGGCTCGCGCAAAAGTTTATCCGAAATTGCGACTTTATTTTGGATCGTATCCGTTTCAAATTTCTTTCTTTTACACCTTAGAGGTTCCTTGACTCGTAGATGTGATAACTCTAAAATAATATTCTTATCAGGTTTCGGTAATGTTAGCCCAGAACCTAGGGTATTGACATTTAAAGCATAGCACGATCTGGGAATTTCACTTTCTTTCTCGGTCATTTTATATTCCTGTTGATTCGATTTATTGTCATCATTATTTTTAAAGTCGAATGGTAAAAACGAGGGTAACTTATTCACTGTTTTGTTAGGTCGAGTATGATGGTATAACGACAGGATCTCGTTTATCATACTCTGTAGGAATACCGCGAAGCTGGAATGGTTCAAAAGAGTGTTTTCAAATTGAGAGTCCGAATAACTAGTGCGACTCGAGAGATGACCCGAAGAGTAGTTAATGTCTAGTATGAATACGGGGTAAAAATAATGGCCACCATTGTTCACGAAATTAGCGTATAAATTTTTGTACCCATTTGGGTCACCCAACGAGTCGAGTAGACCGTTTATAAAATACTTGTTTATATGAGATCGAATCTGGTTCGTTTCCAAAGCATCGACGTTCGAATATCGATTTTCGTGACTCAATGAACGTGCCTTCCCGTTGAGAATTATAAACTGATGCTGCTTATAGGATAGACCCTTGAGATGAAGGTCGTTAATTTTTAGGTCCTTAAAAAACGATGCTTCGTCCCAACCGATGATAAGGTTTACCGAAATGTTAATGTCAGTTTTTGTTCGTCTCAGCGGGCTTGATCTTTTCTTATCGCATAGTTCAGCGCGTTTTTTGTTATTAGAAGCAAATCGATCGTTCAGGCATGTTAAAATAGTCTTTCCCGGAACAAATTTGTCGATATCGTCGAGCGTAACCTGATATTCGTTGTTATCGTTCAATAAAGTTCGATAATTTACTTCCCGAATCGAATGATTCAATCGAATCGAGGAATACTGCGGAAACAGGGAGTAAAAATTAGATATTAGTATATTACAATGTAGAACTCCCTTTGAGCGTAAACCTAACTGACAGGATGACTCTACATCTGTCGAAACTGATGGCCTGTTAAATCGTTGTTGTTTGGCAAAATTGGTGTCATTCTTGAAGTTAGAAATGACGTATCGAGAATGTAGGAGAGACTCACCTCCGCGGACCTTCTTAGGTGTTAGACCTAGTTCTTTACGCGAAAAAACGGCTACATGAGATGATAATTTTGTTGATTTATTATCGAAAATGCTGATTATAATGGTCAAGGGTTCGGAGTGAGGAATGAGCCCAGTTTTTACGAGGAAGATCAAATCGCTTATATTCAAAAAATATCTTTCCCGCGAAATGGTCATCCATTTTTTGCGCACCGGCAAATTGTAGAATAGATTCTTAATAGTTATTATGGTTCCCGAGGATGATAACGGTTTTGAAGACGTTGTAATATCGAGCGCCCGACCTGTTTATATATATAATGATGCAATGTAAAATAAAAGCAAACAAACACAAAAGATTGTATCCGTGAAAAAAATAAATCTTGTAACTTGTTATTAATAAGCAGCGTCTAGCCGCGTCCAAAACTATCTAGCCCTGGAACGGAGGGTTTTATATAAAATAAATAATATAAATCAAATTTGTAATTCGTTTCATTTTAATTGGTATTCCATTTTTATTGATAAATTTTTGAGTAAATTACTAAAAAAATTTAAAAATAAATATGCAAATCATCAGTCACACTTGTAAGACTTCGAAACTGATATTTAATTTCTTTAAAAATATATATGTTCTTTACATTATCGTTACCTAAAATTTCGATCCCTGCAAATATTAATCTTTGAGCCCGGTTCAAAATTTGTATGGCCAGCTCGAATTATTATATCCATTCAAGCCCCGAGCAGCGAGTTTAGAGTTCTTATTTCAATAATATAAATATAATCCTAAACCCATAGATATTTTAGTAATCATTTTGTTTTTAATAAAAGAAATTCAACTAAGATATTATTTTCTAGTTTATTTTTTTTAAGCCCAAACCCGGACCCGAATTATTTTAAAATGTAAATTTAAGCCTGACATGCTAGGCTCGAGCTCGGCTTCAGACAGGATTTAGGAACGACTTGCAAGGCTCTAAACCCAGACTATGAAAAATACAAAATGGTTAACGCATTGATCTTCGGGTTTGTATTTATACTAGCAAATCAAATATATAATAACATAACTAACTAACTTCTATACTTTTTTCTGTGCGTTAGAAGTGGACTAAAAAAAATTAACAAAAATCAAATCTGTCATTAAATAGACAGCAAGGACTAGAGGAACAGTATTTTCTAATTATTTATTTTTTTAAAAAAATTAAAAACAACACTGTGTAACAAGAAAAATGAGAGAAGAAAATAAAAACAAGTTTTGGTGCAGAATTTGACGCTGAGTTCGAATCCGCTTTCCAAATTTTCCCTACACGTGAAGTTTTAAAAATATTACCGTATAAAGACAACTTTTCAAAATCTCAAAAATGGTAAAATTTAGGTCTTTATTTTAAAAAGTATTGAATAAAAATCCTTGAAAATTGGTGATAGTGTTAAACTTATATTTCTTTATAAATTTACTAATTTTTATAATTTTTTATCGATTGGTTTTTGAGAAAAATGATAAAGAATTTCGTTTTGGGGCCTTAAGTTTTCAATTTAAATTACTATCAAAATTATTAACTTTAGAAGATAAATTTTATATAATTTTGCTTCAAATATGCTCAAGATTATATATTAATTCTAATTATGTTTCAAAAGTACTCTATGCCATGAAAATTCAACTAAAATCTATAAATTTAAAAAGTCGGTACAGATATTTTCGAACTTTTTAATTTATTAAATTTTCTCTGTAGTTAAGGTAATATTTATCTTTTTTAGTTGTATTTAGTAATATTTTATGCTTTTATGATCAATTTATACCAAAATCAGATATCTATACCCACTTTTTTAATTTTGTACTCTTTTTGAATTGAGCATTTTTGAAGCAAAATTCATTTAAAATGCAATAATTGGTAATTTTTTCATATTTTTTATTAATATTTATCTTTTTTAGATGTATTTAAGAATATTTGTTTTTTTAATCAATTTATATCAAAATATATGATTTTCCAACGGAGTACCTTAAACCCGTAGTATGGGCAATAAATAATAATGCCAAATAACGAGTAGCGCGCTTAATTTTTCATAAACATTTAATTTCTTTCAATAATTTTTTTTTGAGAACGAAATCCACAATAAATATATATATTAAATGTAAGCTATATTAAAAAAGATTTTAAAGGTAAATTTAAAAAATATAGGTTGTTAAAAAATTGAGTAAGGATTTTATAAAGAAAAATGTATAATAATAATAAGGAAGGTTTGCTGCAAAAATTAAGATAGTTTTTTAGTTGTAGGGATCATTAAAACCGAAGTTATAAACCTTCAAAAAGTGCTAAAATGACCTTTTTGGCCACTTTAACCTATAATAAATAAAAAATCTGACGTGCTAGAAAAAAAACTGACAGCAGATTTAGAATATGCATAAAAAACTGTCTTAAAATATGTTTATTTTATTTTCTCCCAAAAAATCAAGTCGAAATTTGTCACACAGTGTAATATATCAAAATTGGTAAACATTAAAATAATATTTTTATCTAAGAATAAAAATTATAATATAAATTTAAAAAGACTATAAAATTTTCATGATAAATTATCTCCTGGCAAATATTAATGGATACAATTACTCCGAAAGAAATTAATAGAAAATAAAACATAAAATCACTAAAATTAAAGAAAAACTCACAAGATCTTTATCATTAAAGAAATGCAAAGCAAAAAAACCTATAGGGGGGCAGGGGTTAAGTCTAAAATGTAGACTAAAATTTTTATCATTCAAATTAAATAATTATACATAATATTTTATTTCAAAACAATTGAATAATTTTTATTCATAATCTAGATAATATTCATCAATATTAATACGTCTAACTAAATATCCTCCTTTATCCTGAATCATGGTTAGCGCGAATTCGCGACGATTAATACAAAAATACGAAATTTCTTTATAAAAAGTAAATATATTTTGTATACCTAGCCACGAATTAGCGCCAACTGTAAGTACAGGGTTAAGCCATTCCATAAAAATACGTCTATTCAAAGCGAAAAAAAACATAGAGTAGTAGTAGAGTTGTTAAAGTTCAATTTAGCCAATTTAAAATTAAGATTTTAGCCAAAATAATATTGCGTCCGCCTCGAGATTTCGGTAATGAATGCCCAAAACTTTCTATCATATATGAGCAAAATCTCCAGGTTTGCGTAATCTTTTTTGAAGAAAATATTGGGTAAGCTGTTTTCAAAAATAGAGCTTTTTAACATTAGGTAGGGGATATAACGATTCCAAGTCTTTTTTCATTGCACAGGTTTTGCCAGTTTTTAAAAAATTTTTATAACCCGTCCTAGGTAAATTACCTCACGAATTTTCTCAGAATGAATTAAAGTCATTTAACATAAACTTATACACATAAGTGATAACATAATTACTTAAATTCAGCGAGCAGTCATTTCCATTAAGCTATGAAAAATATTTTGATCTTTATTCATGATTATGCTCCAGATATGATTTAAATAAAAGTGATTATTTTTATTATAAGTTTTTTCTTTATTTTAGTATGCAGAATATCTAAATAACCAATTTGTAGATTTTTGATTTAGTTGCATTTATTTAATTAATTTAAGTAAATATAACCACCTACCCATGAGTAGTTAGATGGAAAGGCCATTATTCCTATATTTCAAAATGAACAAATGTATAAGATTTTAATTTTATATATTATTTATTAAATTTTGGCATTTGAGTATATTTTAAGGCATTAGTACAGTTATAGCTAGTGTTGTTAAAAAGTCGAGTTCACCCGACTCCGACTCAGAGTCTGAATTCGTTAGTCGTGAACTCGAGTCGAGAACATGAGTTTTCAACTTGAGTCGTGAATTTAAGTCAACTAGAGGACGAGTATTTAGAATTAGTATTGTTAGTGTTGTTATTCGACTGAGTCGAGTCGACTTAGTCGAAAACTGAGTCTAAGAGTCGTGAACTCAAGTCTATATACTTGAGTCGACTAGAGGACGAATATTTTTATAAACTTGAGTCGTCGACTAGAGGACGAATATTTCAAATTAATTATTAATAAATAAGATTTTTTCTGTTTTTTACATTTTTTTATTTTAGACTTCCACCTTGAGATTTAAATAGGAATTATATACTTTAGTCAACTAGAGGACGAATAGTTCTATGAACTAGATTCGACTAGAGGACGAATATTTCAAATTAGATATTATTAATTAAGATATTTGTTGTTTATTACTTTTTTTTATTTTAGACTTCCAACTTGAGTTGCAAATAGGAATTATATACTTGAGTCGACAAGAGGACAAATAGTTTTCTATGAACTTGAGTCGACTAGAGGACGAATATTTCAAATTAGTTTTTATTTATTAAGATATTTGTTCTGTTTTTTACATTTATTTACTTTAGACTTCCAACTTGAGTTATGAATACAAAATATATACTTGAGTCGACTAGAGGACGAATAGTTATACTTCTATGAACGTGAGTCGACTAGAGGACGAATATTTCAAATTTTATTAATTAAGATATTTGTGATCTATTTTTTACATTTATATACTTTAGACTTTGAACTTGACCATGAATACGAAATATATAATTGAGTCGACTAGAGGACGAATATTTCATATTAGTTATTATTAATTAATTTATTTATTTGTTCTGTTTTTACACAGGATAATTATAATGACCAATATTGTTTGTTAGCTGTTTTAATTTTCCACCTATTAAAATAAGCTTAAAATTTTAATGTTGCAGATACACATGGTATGTGTACCTGGACCACCTGCTAAAACACAGTTTTTAGGTCGTAAAGCAAATCTACTCACCTAACTGTATATCGTTATGAGTCTCTCCAAAGTGAATGAAAAGTTCTTTAATATTACATAAAATTAGCCTTTTCTGCACTTGATATTTTCCTATTTACATATAAAATTATTTTTGCCTGCATAAGTAGTGTTGTTAATAGGATGGTTGTGTAGAGCCCAGACCCGGGGTTTGGGTCTAAAATATCGGCAAAACCAGCTCTGAGCACGAACCCCGAGCACAGACCCGGCGTTCAGACCCAAGGTCCAGATCCGGATAGATGGCACAAAGGTTTAGACATCTATTATCGAAAACTCGATGCTTAGACAATTGTTTTCTGGTTAAAATATTGATTTAGCCGTTTTTAAAAATCGGCTCAAAAAGAGCCGTTTAACAACACTAATGGAAATCCTGTTCACATTATTTAGTAAATATATATTTTATTATATCATTGAAAACATAGTCCCTTTTTTGCTTAAAAATACAGGTAAAGCATTATAGGTAAACCGAATGTTAAAGACTCAA